ACTCGGAAATTGAACATGCCTCTGTGACTGTGCCTTCACAGGTGAAAACCCGGAATCTAGTCAATCTAGTCCACTGCGACAAAGTGGCTCATGGCCAAGGCTAGCCTGTCCGTTGCTGTGATACTCCGGCGTCTCCCACCCAACCTGCAGCTCACATCAGTTTACGACTGCCACTCAGACAATACTTATGTAGCCTCAGACATCCCCACTGCAGCCCAGGAACGCTTGCCGCACATTCCTGACAAACGTACTTCCGAAGGAGTGGGGCTTCTGAAACTTCGAGTTGTCTAAGGCTACACAGTTTGAATCCAACTTTATGCGACCTTACAGGTGCCTGACTGAATATCTACTCCAAATCCAGAAATCACGCCTTGGACATCATCCGAGGCACTCAGATTCCCTCTCGTCAGAAAGTCTGCGAGCCGCGAATGCACCCCGCTGCCGTGCCAGCATGAACTTGTGGATCGGTGACAGACGGCCCAGCCTGGGCGTAAGAGGCGCGCACATGAGAAAAATACTGAGACTCGTGGGCCTCTCCGGGGAGCCAATGTCCACAGCATCTGTGGCCACCTGCCCGCTCAAGCAAATCTGCAGCCCACCCTGCCCCATGTACACAGGCTGGCGTGGCATGTCCATTAACCCATTCACTCGCAGTCACGAACCCGATCACGTGAACCTTGTTAGTGGGTTCTTGTGCCAACCACATTGGGCCCAAGAGGTTGGACTAATGGGCTCCAATATGTAGGGTCAAATGACTCGGCTAGTGAATCAATGGGTCAACCCAAGAAAGGTTTCGAGTTCTCTGCACGCCAAGCCCGGTATGACGAACTGCGATAGAGGACACATGTGCCGGACTCGAGGCCTCAAGCTATCTCAAGTTGCTTCATCTCAAGTTGTCTCATGCCGCTCCCGACGCTATGGTTCGCATCTCGAAAGTGCCTCGCAGTTGCCCACACGACCGAGATCGGACTGAGTCGTGGCCTGCCCCCCCCTCCTCACCGATACATTTCGTAAGGATGAAAGTCAAAACTGACAAAATCCGAATCTGAGGGCTTTCATGTGCTGAAGAGGAAAACAAAGGGCCTTGCAGCTGCGAATCGCCTTCTGTTCTGGTCTCCATTTTTGGGCTCAAAAAAAACCAAGAATACTGTGAGCACATACGGCATTTTTGCATTTTTTCTTTCGGACCCAATGAGGATCGGTGGGGATCGGTGGGGGGGGTTGAGATGGCAGACTTGGCAGCACATCTACCACGCCAACACGCTAAGACTAGGGCCATGACAAGGTTTTCAAGGCACTTTCTGCGTTTCCCTGCAAGTCAACCTGCCAAACAATGCTCAGAACTAAGGCCTCCAGATGCGGAGGGCAGCTGGCAGGTGTAGTTGGCTCCAGGAGTGTCGACGGAGCGGAAGCTTGTAATTCTTGCACATGTGCCTGTCAACTTGTCACCGCCACCACAGGTCCACAGCTTGTCAGAAGGTCAGAAGTGCACGCAAAGGAGCATGACCCTGTCGGGCATGAAAACACACGCCTACTGCGCAGTCCGCACCCGTGGCCTCTAAGAGCTTCGCCTGCAAAGCTCCTAGATCTGCAATCAGGTCCTGCCACGTTGGATAAGCGGGCACACCATTCAAAGTACGGCCACCACGTAAGGTCACACTGACAATGTGTCTGTGACCGCAGGGAAATGGCACCGGACATCGACTGCAGAAGTGAAAATGAGGGGCCTGGAAGCTTCTTCTGGCTTCGGCAGCCTGGCCACGCAAAAACAAAAATAAAGAGAACTGAGCTGTAACACCAAGCTGCAGCACACGGCAGTTTTCCTGCACAGCATCGTACAGCTGTGTGCGCCGTCTGATGGAGGGTTTCCGAACTCATTTCATTTCTCTGCGCTGTAGTTTACTCTCGACAGCCCCCCTTCCCCCCCGGCCATAAGGCTGCGGGAGCTTGAAGAAGAAGGTGATGCCTGCCACGCAAGACAAATGCCGAGTGTGACCACGCTGTGCAGGTGACAGCAACACGTTCTCATAGCGTGGAGGTCCCTGCGAGATCTACCGAAGGCGGCACCTCAAAATCATCGTCAGCTGCCCCAACTTCCACTGGTACCTCATATTGCAAATAACAACAGCTGTGCTGCAACATGATTTGCTTGGGGTTCCGAAGCCCTCCAGCAGAGACCCAGACCGTCTGCGCGTTTCGGCTGGCCATGTCAATCGAACTCCGGCAGCCACCATGCAAGCTTCAGAACCCGTGGCCAAGTCATGCGAGGCTCCAGCTTCTCATGTGACACGCTTGGGCAAAAACTACGCGAGGATCACACGAGTTTCATGCACAGAACGTTCATAACTGCACAAACATCGCACACACAGCTTCACCTAACAATGGGAAGATCCAGCACTCCCTGCAATGACACTGCCGCAATTGGAATACAAACAGCATCCAGGCTCATGCCTTTGGCATCTGGCGACCATCCCGAGCATGTTGACACAAGCTGAAGCATAGACGGAGCCTGATGGTGGGCAGCTATAAAGGGCCCGGATTGTTTCTGGATTCTGTTGCTTTTGGACTTTTGTTTTTGCAGAAGAGAACCTGTCTCTCCTCAGTTTCTCCTACGTTTACTTTAGCGGCAAACCTCTATTTCCTCATATTGGAGTAGCCACACCTATGTTTTAACCCTGACAAGCCCTACATTTCTTGTAGGTGCTTGTTGTCTTGCTTCTTGGCCTCCTTGCCTCTGGTTACCGACAACCCTCAAGCTTTTGTAGCTGCATAGGCAAACCTGTATTTCTCTCTCTGCCTTTACTGTTCATCCTTTTCCTCTCGGTTTTCTGCTTCATAGGCTAGTAGAAACTATTGAAAGCACTCCTACTGCCTTCCCAGTTTGCTCCATATGCCCCCTAATGTCCTCTGTGTCTTGATGGAAAAATCACTTAGGATTTGCCAGGCGTTTGCTGGTTCATTCTCTTGCTACCGGACGCCGGGCCATCTCCCCCCCTATCAAAAACCAGCAAAACACAAACAGCACGAAATGAGCAGAACACCAGAGACAAAGACCAAAGCACAAACCAAAATGAGTACAGAATCAGAATGTAGAAGATGTAGAACACAGCATAAAGCGTAAACAACACGAAGGCATAGAACCAAGTGCAAAAGAGCACTTTGCAAACAAATACACGACAACAAGCAAAGCAAGAAACATAAACGCAGAAGGCAACACATAGAACAAAGCAAAACACTAAAGCACAAAGCAATCAACCGAAAAAACGCCAAAGCAAGAGGCCACCAAGAATCAGAAAAGCAGAAGGCAAAAGCCATAGTCATTTGCACCACAGCTGATGAATCATAGACTTGCACATGAAGGTGAAAGGAATGAACTAAAAAGCCCCTATTATCTTTCGCTTTTCTGTTTTTGAAGTGAATGAGTGAGCCGAATGAACAAGCGAACCACAAGTGACAGCCTGAATGTACCGTGAAGAGAAGTGTCTGAATTATTTGTACAAAAGCGAAGCGAATGCACGAACGAAACAAGAATACTATATTACGGGTGCTACATTACTAGTCCGTGTGAATTAAGCTTTCAGGAAGGGAAACGAACGCATGAATCTAATGAACACATGAGCGAAACCAGTATTAATATTGTGTAGAGAGAAGTGAAAACAAATAATATGATGACAGCGCGCAATAATATTAATTGTAAGAAAGTACGAACCCCGTTTCTCTTCTTCACCCTCACAATACTATGTTCATAATTTCCCCGGGCTCTCATTGCACAAAGCAAACATCGAGAAAACCGTAAGCAACACACAAAAACAACAGAAAGCACAAGCACAATCACACATGCTTTATGCGTGAACTCGCAGCCTTGACCCGAAACAGCATAGCCGACTTGATAGATTGCGTGTGTGCACCCAAGCCTTCCAAACTCATCAGAGTCCAAAAGCAATTCAGTTATCAAGCTTAGACAAGGGCCTTCCGCCCTACCGGCACCAGGCAAGCCACAACCACCTTGAAAGGGCACAAGCAGACAAGCAAAAACTCCGGGCGCTTGACGCGAAGCCTTGTCAAGCGATCCCGAAGTGAAGCCGCAAACTCGCCGCGAACTTTGGCCGATTTTTCGCCGATCTTTAGTATCCATTGTTATTCCATGTCCTTGCTTGTCAGCAAAAAACTTGTCTTTACTTCTTGGGTGAGTTAGCACCTACAGCCTTTCAACTTTTCAATTCTGGAAGCTGGCTGCTTGCAGACAAACCCGAGGCTTGCCGCCATGAAGTGTTAATGCCCTCATTTCATGAACGACATCCTCATTCATGATTTATGGCTCTGAATTGTGAACCGCAAGTACGAACTTAAGTTCTGCTTGAAGGCAGCAACCCAGCGCTGAGGCGCCTCAAGACAAAGTTCACCACACAACCCAACATCGCGAGAACTCCAAGCCACCATCGTTGCCTGCAGCTGCCGATCTTGAGACTGGGGGCACGACAGATAGCAGTCCAGAGCAGCCAAGCGGAAGAAGACTGCACAGCAGCAGCGTCAATAGCGGAGCACAGGGTCGCAGTGGGAACTGTTGCTTCTTGAACCCAACTAGTTGAGGACAACTACACGTGCACGATTGCTGCCTGGTAACAAGTCGTTCAGCTTGACGTAGAACCTGCACCCGCGGGGAGATGGGGAGCGAGGAAGAGGGAAACGGTAACCAAAAACGATCGAGAGCTGCCCCCTAAACCTAACACTGCTGCATCAGGCACCATGCGGATGTCACACGCCTGTCCAAAGAGTTGATCTGGCGGGCCTGCCACCTCAGATAGGTCAAGCTTCGATGTATATCTGTTGTCGAAGTCTACTTTGGATATGGGCAGTCAACTGGTTCGTTTGAGCCCTAAACTGCAACAACAGTACAGAGTAAAAAGTTGCACGATCGGGTCCAAGCGCCGCAACATGCGGTAGCTGTGCAATGGCACGGGAGCCTTTGGCTTTCGAAGGCTCTCCACAAGTTTCGAGGCTCAACCTGTCGGTTGCTTGGCATACCGAAGATGCCATGTATGTGGGATATGTGAACACTCTGCAATGTACCAAATGCATCGGCGCACAGGTGCTCAATTGGCGGAAAGTACTGTAGGCCTGCTATGTTTTGATGTTTGTCTTTATGCCAAAGTCCGGCCTGTTTCTGGCCAAGACATCGTCTGTGGACTCTGTATATGGACCCGTTGATGACACCACTGACAAATGCTGACGCATGCAGGGATGACCTGTCAACCGGCCTTGCTGCTTCGTTTCACCTTCTTCAATGCGACTGTCCTGCGAACAGCATTCAAACAACATTGGCGAAGCAACAACCTCTAAGATTGGAGCGTTACAGGTTGGGATGCTTGGCTGCCGGCACGCCAAAAGGTCCAGAGAGTGTATCAGAACTATGGCGGCGTTGGTGTTTTCACAAACAGACAACACATCACTGAGACAACGATATAGGCAGATAGGGCAGAAAGCCGACCACGACTTTTTCATGCTTGTGCTGACCGGGAATCGCACTGGCATCATTCAGATGAGTTCAGCCAGTCTTAAAGGTGCCTTCGGACAATGTTCGGACCAAACAATATGTGAAACTTGTTTACTGCAGCCAAACTCATTCTTCCTCCAGTCTGTATTGATAGCCTGCCACCCCGATTCAGAACATGGCCAAAGAGATCTGTAACATGGGGTCATTAGTAACATGGGGGGCCCTATACCCTACCTCAACCCTCGCCACACCCTGAGGGCCTGGAGTAAGCCAGCCCCCAAAATCAGTCCTCCGTCAGCCATTCAGCCCGCCGGGTAGATAGCAGCAGCGTCCCACCACTTCCCTTGATGAGGCCCTGTCGAAGCCCATGCTTGTTCTTCTTGGCTTGCATTTCCCGTGCCTTCTTGTATTGTTATCCGTTTTGCAGGTTCTATTGAAAGCCACAGGCTTTGTCCTTCTTAGTGCCTATTTCGGAAAATGCCGAATGTCCGAGCTTGTTGCTGACGTCTAGACTCGAAGCGACACAAAAAACTATGCCAGCGCAAGGCCCCTTACAACGAGGGGAGCATCGCGACACGGAAGGGCGCTCCAAGGCTCCAGGAGCGCGTTCAATCTCCAAAAGATACCAAAACCACACCAAGCGCTTCAGAAGTATCTCGCAGGAGCCTTTACCCCTCGCTTACTATTCATGTTACCATCTCATTTTTCTTCTCCATCTCACTCCAGCGGTTTCCCTGCTGCAAGTCAAACAAATTCAAGACACTCTTGAAAAGTTGACAAACACTTTCTTGCCGATGAACAAAAACGAAGAGACCGCCTCGCGCACGGTGTCCAGGGCTGAATCGGCCAGGAATTGCCTTTGCATGTGGCTGACTTGGCTCATCCACTCTGTAACATCTTGCACGGGAGGACAGACTCTCGATTCCGTAGATCGCTTTTTGATGGTCACTTGTGACTACACACCCGCGCGTACGAATAAACCTCCCACATAGAGAAAAGCATCAGCTGCACATACATCAAACGCCCACATGGAGTCATAGAGAGAAGCAGCTTGCTGACTGCCTACTGCAATGCAGCCTCCTGAACGTGCGACTTGCACCAACTCTCCCAGCGCGAAATGCGGCGAAAGCGACGGCGAGCCATCGATGTTGGAGATGAAGAGCACCTAAGCAGATCACAACCCCAAGATTCAGGATCGTCGAGCTGTACTGCCATGTCGCAGCAACTGCCTCACGACGATTCTCTGACCCTATAAAAATGCTGGGTGCTGGGCTGACTGCCCATCCGCAGGACTCACGTCCTTGAGGTTCATCAACTCGAAGGACACTGATCCCGAAGCTCGGAGGTCCATCAACAAGGCACGGACTCGACGGTAACCTTGCCCGCGGCTTGCGACATTTCAGAATGAACTACAGGGCTGGTGTGCCAATTCATGTGTGCAAATGCGTGTATTTGTGTGCAGATTTGCTGCCAGGCTGCTGCTCTCATCCTTGAGCCAGCCTTCCTCGTTGATGTGGAAAGCCTCGTTCTTCTGACCACCAAGTCGCCTGGCACGATTGGCCGAAACAAGCCTCTCGATGTTGAACTCTGCACATCCCTAACTTGCAATGATGTGAAGGGATGCGCAATGTTGCCTGCATGAAAAAACTGATTCAGCACGAAGCATGGAATCGTGTGCTCACCTGATCGCGTAAAGCCAAAGAAACCAAGGCATGTGCAATCAGCAAGTGCAAACAGCCCAGCATGGCAGGAAGCAGAGCACGCCTTTCAGATTTCGTGAGGGACACTGGAGCCATTCGCCTCTTGGGAATCAGCTCGCGCTGCCTGAACTGTTACAGCCCTCAAACATCCCCAAACCATTTGACCCTTTACTGGTCTCAAGAAAAGCCCTTCAGACATCCCTCACAGCAAGCTCAAGATTTCACGCTGCGCCCTCTCACTTGATGTGATCTCTCGAAAACATTCGTAAAACATGTCCGTGCTGCTCTCCGATACTCAAACCCTTTTTCGTTAAAAGAGGAGCATGCTCTGTCAGTTCCTTCCGACTCCCTCCTCTTCGAGTTCTTCGATCCTGATTCCGTCTCCCTTCCGAGTCCGAGGGGCCCAAAGGATGGCCAAGCCACGGGCCAGCCACTTGGCTCGGAGATGCACCCAACCACCGTGGCATAGAGTCCTCCCAGAGGCAGCACTCTGCACACTTTGCAGCCCCTGTCTCTTCCCACGGAGCCTTGCGCTTGACACCGAAAATGGACACCGAAAATGACACAAAAACTAACCTGACGATTCCCTTGCTCACTTCAGGCCTCGCAATCTCTCCGGCAGCTGCATCCTCGGCATGGGGCTTTCGATGGCTTTCGGCTCCAACTCAACAGACTGATCTTACGAAGTTCTGCGTGTCTAAGAACGGGCAACACAGCACGGCTCGACTTGCGTAGGGACTGCGATGCAACATCAAGGTAAGCCCAGATCGAGCACAAGAGTGAGCTGTCCACGGGCAGGTCAAGAAAGTCCATCATGTTCGAAACCTTGACACATGATGGTGCTCAACCGGCCCAACCGGCCCAACCGGCTCAACTGGCATAGGCAGCAAAGGGACTCCCAGCACTCGCCCAAACTTGTGCTCCGAGCGCCCGAAAAGCGACCTGAGATCAGAGGTGGTAATATCATATGTCCTGACGTATTCAGTGGGCTTGCTCTGCGAGATATGGACAACCATCCTGCTTTCAAGGGTGCAGTAAGGAGCCTATAAAAAGCGTGCCCCTATCATATAAGAGGTTGCGGTTGGGTCGGTGAGTGGCTGGTGAGTGGCATGTGAGGCACATGTGAGGGGATGTCTCGGGGAAGAGCAAATGAGAAGCTTGTAAGGTCAAAAAGGGCTGAGGCTCGGCTATCCTGTGTAAGCATGTTTTTGTGTCGACCCTGTCTTTGAGTAAGCTCTCGTGAGAATTCAACCCGATCCAGGGTTAGTCAGGGCCCCGTTTTTTTGTCAGTCGAACGGGCGCAGCATTCGTCACGCAAGCTCTCGTCGCTCGAACTCCAAGACCAGGCCCGCAGAAGGCTCGAAGCAGCCAGAGGCCCGTAAGTGGCTCGCGAATGGCTCTATATAGGCTTGTAAGTGGCGCGAAGGCCCATGAGGGGCCCGTAAGTTCGCAAGGGGCCTGAGCGGCACGTAAGCGGCATGTAAGTGGCATGTAAGCGGCACGTAAGTGGCCGTAAGTGGCGCGTAAGTGGTAAGTGGCACGTAAGTGGCACGTAAGCAGCCCGCAAGTTGCCAAGGGTCCCCGGAGGAGGCCCGTGTTGAAGCCCGCACAAACCTGTGCAGGAGACCCATGCAACATCTGCCAAAAACACCAGAACTTAGAAGTCAGGCAGCCTGCTCTTAGCCTCTCCCTGAAAAACACCAAAGGTTACGTACTCTCCTTACCCACACGACCTGATCTTACATAGCCTCTCCTTGAAAAACACCTAAACTTACATACTCTCCTTACCCAAGGGACCCGATCTTATGTGATAGGGGCACGCTTTTTATAGGCTCCGGAAGCTTCCTTTGATGCTTGTGTTGACTTGAATGCCTGGTGTTGCTATGTCTTGCTATGTCTTGCTGACAGCCGCACACCCCGGGAGCTGATGGCATATGACATCACTCATAGGGCCATGCCTTTCTCTGCCGCTCAATGCTGACTCCTGGAGCTATTTCCAGGAGCTGCGTGAGAAAAAAGAGTCTAAGTAAATCAAAGGCAGAAGCATTCTGCATTGCAAGGACTTGTAGAAGGCGGTTGACAAGGAGGACGATACTCGACGGCAGAGCACCGGGTGGAGGCTGCCAAGGCAACCCCAAGGACCACCCTCTCGGCACAAAACCCGTAAAACAGGAAGGTGCCTCATGGTGTCACCAGGGGGGGAAAGAACGGCGAGCAGGGGAGCCAGCATACCAAGGAGAAATTTAAGCAGTGGAACAAGTATGGAACAAGCACGGAACAAGCACGGAACAAGTATGGGACAAGTATGCAACAAATATAGCGCTGTTGATTGCACAGTTGTATACTCGCCGCTCCACAGCCCCGATACAACTCACATCAACTCACCCAAAAAATGCGTCGGAGTATTGCCTTCTTTGCTTAGCTGCCTGTCGTGAGACCGTGAGCCAAGTACATTAGCCTATGCAAAATGTGATGGGATCTCGCTGTTGCATCGGCTTTGGGGTAGTACCGGCGAGGGGCGCGAGGAAGGCATCGCGAGAAGGTGCCAAGCCCACAAGTTCCAGCATCAGTTCGCCATAGAGCAGTTGCATTGGGTTGAGGTCGAAAAGCGTGAGCTTCCGAACAGCGACCTGCGGCAAAGGGGGCTGGCAGGTGTGGGCCGCTATTTGCCACTGACATGACTGGCCGATGGGCATGTTAACAGGCATGTTAACATTTTGGATTCCCGTTTGTAGGCATGTGAGAAGGACCCAGCCTTAGCTTTCACCAAAGCCTCCAAACAATCGAAGCCGCTGAGGCCGCCCACTACACAACGGAAATCGTCCACGGGGCCTCCTCCAGACACAGCCATTCCCGGCTAGGGGGAGAATGATGGAAAATGACATGAGTTGCATCCTGGCCATGTCCGAAGCAGTCGGCGACAAGTCGCTGCACGGATTGAGGCCGCCTGAAGTCACAGAGAAACCATGCAGGGTCGCCAAGGACCAGGTTCTGCAACCCCTTGGGGAACAAGAAAGTCCGATTCTAAGCCGAAAAAAAACACCCCAGTTTCGATTCCCGCGTCATCTTTCAAGGGCCAGAATATGATAGCATCTTTATCCTGATGAACTTTGAAATACTGATTCTAGGTGGCGCACACACACACACACTTTGTGTTCTGAAAGGCGGCTGAGCCCTACGGGTGCCAGCTTCACGAACATAGGACAAATATCACAAACCCTTCCAAGGAGTGCCTCCGCAAGTTGCTCAGATAGACCTGTCAAGTACAGCCTCCACCCCACGGACCCCCACCTACCACCAACCCAACAAATTTAACAGCTTCAGAAGCAGCTTCAGAAGAGCACGAAACCCAACCCTCCGAGAGCAAGAAAGAAACCAACAACCAAAAAAAGTGCAGCGTCAGGCGATGCTCCTTTCTATATTGCGCTGGCACGAGAGAATACACAAAACGAGCAAGGCAGCAGAAGTGGCCCCCAAGTTGACACTTGCGCTCGGGGCAACGTCCCTCGTGCAGACGAGGCGCTCGCTGAAGTGGACGATGTGCACGCACTGGAAACGGAGCAAGGCATCACCCTCCGCCAAGGAAAGACGGCAGGCGAAAGTTCAAAATAGAACGCCACAACCACAGCCCCGACAGGCATGCCGTCAGCAATAGAGACCTTGCAGGGAACGGAACAAAAGGCACATCCTTTGCGACTCACCTGAAGGTTTCAGCTGGGCATGATGCACCGAATCAAGCTACAACAACGCCAGGGTGAATGACCGACTGGTGGGAATTGCTGTTGTGTTGCACAGAAGCAAGCTGAAACTTGGGGATAAGGCCTGCAGCGCAGGCGACAGAGCAGCAACCGACACGAGAACTTCCAGCTGACCAAGCTCGGCAAGCCGAGAATGTAGATGATGGGGCATTGACAGGCAGAGCAGAGGAGGCGGGTCCAGTACCGCTGGTCTGGCGGAGCCACCACCTGCGAGTCCTGCAAGCGCTGAGGCGCAGAGTGCACAGTCCGTGGAGCAGAGCTTGCCATACCATCCGGTACCACTCTGCCGGGGTGGCCACGGTACCCAGCGGCTGGTGTGTCGGTCGGCACGCCGCAGGCTGCCACCGCTGATCTGGCCGGTTTAGGCAGATGATTCGGATCGAAGGAAGCTAGGGAGCTCAATGAGCTCATGAACAGAGCGGCTCAACTTGAGGAGAACATTGCGTAGCGTGACACGGAAGTTGTCAGGCTGCGGCGCGTGGGCAATGCCCTCAAAGGCGGGCACACGGGGGAGGAGAGAGAGGGACACACACACACACACACACACACACACACAAAAAAAAAAACACACACACACACACACACCCACGCACAAACAAACACAAACACAAGCACAGACACGGACACAGACACAGACACAAACACAAGCGCAAGCGCAAGCACAAGCACAAGAACAAGAACAAGCACAAACGAACACAAACACACAGACACACAGACACACACACACACACACACTTCGGGATCTCCCTACACATGTAGGGGAAGGCAGAAATATCGTCCATGGTGGAGCTGCCAGCTGCTATGCTAAGCCCAAGCACACTCCCAGTTTATGAGCTGCCAGCTGCTCTGCCAAGCCCAAGCACGCTCGAATTTGCAGGTACGTTTTCAGCACCACACTGTTAGGCTCTTCGTTGGCCGCCCCCTAACAGTGGGTGGAGCGGCCCCCTGCGTACATCTTAAATGAATTCAAAACGACTGATGTGATTTGCTCCGACCCTTGGTCCAACAGGGTTTTGTGCACACACACACCCGGCCCGTTCCATGGACCGGTGTGGCAAATCTCACGGACATCCTCCCTGCAGCTGCGGAGCCGAGCCTTTTTTGAACAGCCATCTGGAGCATCCATGCCGATTGAGTGAGAGCACCTCTAACAAGACAGTCGAGAATGAAGCCTGCTGCAAACTGTTTAGAGAACGTTGCGGAATCGTTTGGCTTTTGCTGGAAGCGCTTGGCACAACTCATTGCGCAGAAAACCTAGACTCAAATATTTCTGGGAAAGGGCACGAATTTGACCGGGCACATCTGATCAAAACACGCGCCCGAAAACTAGCCAGATTTGCATTTGCAGATCCAGCGCTTTGCGGGACCCGATACTTCCAAGCTTCGTTGGGAACATGGAAATCTACACGACGGTCGTACACAGACACACGGCAACCCAACAGTTCTTCAATCTCACAAGCCTCCAACACAACAGGTGGACCATAAAAGGTGGGGTCGACCAGCGCTGAGAAAGCTGGTCTCCGCAAGAAGCACCGCGGAAAAAGCAAATACCTGTTGTCGACGTATCGGAGGAACCAACATGCAAGCTGGTCAGATGCCCAACACTGCCTCAATCCCCGCACCCAACAATCCTCTTCCAAGCAGACAGCCAAGTTACACAAACTTGGTGACAACTGGTTGCCAATTGGACTGCCTCGTTTTTGCGAGAACGTCCGGCCCAAAACAGTAAACGACGCAAAGGAAAAGGACAACTGAACAATTTTGAGGACGTCACCCTGGAAAACTTTTCGGCACGTGGATGGTCGGTTTTTCATCGGCTTTCCACGTAGGACTCGGCCATAAGAAGATGGCGATGTTTCATCAACCGTGAACCAAAAGTCACTGCGACACTTACCTCCAGCTTGCTTGTTCTCAAAGAACCGGTTCAAGGCAATCTCACAAGCACGATTTAAGCGCGAGATCGGAATGGAATTAAAAAAGCCAGTCAGGTCATCGTTGACCGTGACATATTCTTGCGCATCAGAGTGGGACGTCCGGTCCAAGAAAGCGTGTAGCGAAGCCCACACCTCATGCAACTTCAGCCTACCAAAGTTTTCGGGAAAGGCAACTTGGCAAACTTCATTCAACACGCAGGCGATGACCTTGCACAACTTGCTCAAACACGACCCGCGGAAATTGATGATCGACCGAGCTTTTTTGAAAGACTTTTTTTGCTTCAGAAAGCAGTAAGCCTTTGGCAACAGAAAGGTCTCCTTTATGCCCCACGCATACCGTTTCTTCAACGAATCGGGTATGGCCTGGAAGGCTGAGGAGGCAATAGCATGAGGGTGTCCGGCGAGCTCACCATACACATCTGCGTCTTCAAACGTGTTCAAGATACCTGATTTGTACAGCTCTGGACAGAATAACATGATCTGGTTGTACGCGTGGTCGCGTGAATGCACTACAAGGTTGCGCATCTCCTGCGCAGCCCGTAGGACTTCAGCGATAGAGAACCTGCCGGACACTGCCTTGACATGCTCGGGAAACTCACCTTCCACAAACCAAAGCCACTCATCAACAACTTGCTCAATGGGAAGATGGTGATGCCCTGCCCACGCGCGAACTTCCTGCACAGACATTTCCCTATACCGCTTGACACGGGGGAAAAAACAACAACCCGCCGACGACGCAAGAAGTCGCTTCAAGTGTCTTGACACTGACAACAGCGACGCCGGCGACGCGACATGCCCCTCAACGCACTGCAACTGTGGATGCTTTTGCAACACAAGTTGACATTGACAAAAATCCGTGCAGGGGAACTGCGCGAACTTTTTTAACCACAGTCTGAAATTGAACAGCTTTTCTCCAACAGAACAATGCCGTTTTTCCACCACCTGCTTCGTTGGAAGATGAAATGGCAAGGCTTGATCTGCATACTTCTTGCGTACTCCCACCAACCACTTTTCAACATTTTTCTTGAAGAACTTGTTGGCGAGCAACGGCAATGTCAATGGTTTGGCAGCCCTCGGCACAGCCAGTCCACGGCGTTCAAGAACCGACTTTAGACGCTTTTTTGCAACACCTCGGTACGGTTCCTCCAAGCAACTTGCCAGTCTGTCAAGCGCATACAGATGAAGATGACTCGTATTTTCCGCTGCAAGCAGCTTCTGCATCTGCCAGCCTTGTCCATCCAACTGTGAGAGCAGGAACAACATTGACCATGCGGTTGAGCGGGACAGATTGCGATTTGCGCCTTCCTTGGGGCCGAATTCGGTAACCATTTTTTGCATCGTTTTTGATCGGCGTCTCAATTTTAAAAATAACCTCTTGCCACACCGATGAGCTGCGCCGGCATGTTTTTGAGCAACCTGCTGGTAAGTTACACGGTCCCCTTTGAAGACCAAGCGATTGGAGAAAGGGTAGTTTAGAGGAGGACGCCAGTTTTGCACAAACAAGTGCTCCAACGTCCACACATGCGCATAAGAGCTTCCAGCAGCCAATACAATCGGCACAAAATCGAAGAAGTTCTCACAAGAAAACCACCATTTTACAGCAGGCTCAGCTTGGACAAACGAGGAACGAAACAACTGGTTGTGCTTACGGATCCGAGCATACTCTCTGTTGAAGAGCCCGACCCGCGTGGAACCTACGTAAAACATAGCCGAACCAAAGGAAAAACGGCGCCGCGAGCAACAACTTGACACTCCAGGCACACGAACGTATACAACAGCGCTGTGATTGAAATGATTCCAGGTATACGTCTGCGGTGAGACATTATGGCGTTGCAACCTTCTCTTCCACTCAGCCGCTTTGAATGAAAGTCTTTCGGCACCAAACAAGAGAGTGAGCCACACACATCCAGCCACGTACAAGGCAGCTCGTTTGACTGCTTGCTTAGGAAAAAGCAAAGCGCACTGCAGCACCTTGCAAAGATCGGTTAAAATGGAAAACTGTTTGTATGAACTGGGAGGTCAGCGGGAAAGGGCGTATGCTGCCGCAATAATGCGGACCAGCTCCTTTTCCTTTGCTGTTCCCGCTTGTTTCACACTCAGTCCCCAACCCGCCGCAACATCCGGGAGGCTTGCAACTTGCGACTCAGACAGCTCCTTGAACACTTGTTCAGCTTCTTTGATGGCCTTCTGGACGGGAGCCTCCAACTTCTTGGGCAACTTTCGAATCCACGCGCTGACACCCTGCGGGGTAACAGTGGAGGGGTAGGAGTCGCGAAGTGGCTTCACACTTGAGTCGATTGTCAGCAAAGGCGACGAGCTCACGCCGTCAACAGGCAACGAGGGAGGAGGGGCTCCTTTTTGTAGCCGCTTGCGCGCTGGGAGCACGGGGGACTTGGAACGAGACCTCCTCTTGTTCGTGGCCTTCTCATCTTCAAGCTCCTTCACCTTCTTACGAAGTTCCTCGAGTTCACGGGACTCTGACGCTGATGCGGCGGAGACTTGATACTGACGAAGTGCGCCCAAAGCTTCACTGGCCAACTCCTGAACGGCTTTGTTTTTGGTGTCCTTGTCGGTTGGCTTCTCCCCATACTTTTGAAACCACCGGTTGAACGCTGCACCTTCGACGTCAAAGTGCTCGGTACGACACAAACGAAGAAGCGAATCTGCAACTTGGGCTTCGCGGACTGACCTTGCGAACACGACACTCACGAAAGCCCCTGCGGACAATGCCCGGAGGTTGTGGTTCTCCCACCCCAAATAGCACAACTCGTGAACCCTCACGGAGTCCACGGGCCGATTTGCCAAACCAGTTTGCTGCGACCATGGTGTAGAGCAAACGTTGCGGTAGAATTGGCGGCCGAAGAGGGAGTTGCGGTCGAGGAACTTGCTGTCCGACTGGAAGCTGTGGGGAAGGTCAAGGGAATGCTCCTTGCGACCATGCCCGTGGGGACTGTCAAACTCCTGAGCCCTAGTATGACGGCGAACCACTGGCGACCGAGAGCGCGAATAGTTGCGGAAGCGAGCCATCTGGCAACTATGGAGGCGAGGACCGGAGTAGACTGCGCAACAAGCCAAATCTGAAAGGACAACACAACTCAACTCACAGGTGCACAACAGCAGCGGACATTAAACAGAAGCAGCACGCACCTCTATTTTGCGCACAAGCGCTTTTTTGCAGTGGGTCAACTTCAGGCATCGTCCAACTTCAAGGCGAAGCCCTCTAGCTGGTAGAACTCGAAATTGATGACGATTCGTTTGAATAACTGATTTTGTTCAGAATTCAGGTTGCCATCTCTGCGCTGCCTCCTTTCCGCCTCCTTTTCAAGAACGAGAGGCCGGGAACAAGTACCGAAAATAAGGCACTGGGCCAAACCTGTAAGGTCCTGAGCTACATGATGCAAAAGGTTGGCCATCGGTGTCAACTCTTGTCGACACCCCCACGAAACGAAACAACCAGTAACTCGCGAAGGGGAAATTTCACCTTCGGAAACAATGCGACAAAACTCCTGGACAGATACCCCAAATGCAAAGAAACTGCGGGGAAGGCTCCATGTTTGAGAAGAAACTTCCCGACCACATCTGCTCTTCAACAAACGTGACTCAAAAACTAGAAGTTTGGCGGTCTGAGCAATATCATCCGAGCGATGCGATACCAAACTGAATGGCCCAATGTCGGACGTGCCCATACCAGAAGCATGTAGAAGTTGCGCGCACTCTTTCACAGCTTCAGAATTTGCCAGTTTTTCTACATCCAAGTTCAACTCGCGAGCCTTTGACAACAATAATCTCCGCAAACACTCGGCTTCAGGAACCCAAAGCTGCGAACCCCATTGTAGTTGCTTCGGAAGCACAAAGGGGGAAGGCTTCGCCGCTCCACTGTGTTGTTGCAAAGGCAGCGGGCCAGCCGGCCGGTATGTGATCTTGCGCTTCGTGTGGCGGGATGTCGAACAGGTTTCAGCATCAGCTGCTGCATTCTCACGCAGTGCTTGCACATGAGCATGATGAGGCGGTGTTTTTCTTTCTTCCAAGTTTGCACGAAGAATTGGGAAAGGCATGCTCTTTGACCGCGGCGCACCATCATTCCAGCTGGCACAACTTTGTACATTGACATTGCTTCTCGTAGCACAATTGACACCAGCCCCAACGCAGCCGCTTGCTACATCTTGCTGATTGTACTGCAACTTGTTCATGGGCGAAGGCATAGATGTAATAGTTCTGCAACTTCGGAAGCTTGGCACATGCCAAATTCCAGGAGGAACATCCATGCTCATAGGAGGATTGGAATACCTTAATCCAAAACCTCTCGGTGTGCATGTGAGTGTGTGTGTTCGCGCCACAAGGCACTCAACAAGCGAAAGCCTGACCAAGGAACATGCAAGCTACAGGCCTGGCCTTCTCACGAACCAGGTTGCAGACAGTGGCAGCATAACCAAAAAACACCAAAGGTGACAAACGGTTCCTGGTTCTATACACCGAAACCTCAGCACACACATTTCTTTGACCTGGCTTTTGTCAAGCAGTTTTTACCATTTTCGGGGGCTGCACGGTGTGGAAGTGTAAAAGTGCTGTAAAATCAATGTAAATGTAAGCCATCGACTGGTTGCTCGAAGCAAAAACCGGTTGCTCGCAGCTGATAGTTGCTCAGGGCAAGATAGTTGCTCAAGGCATCAATTGACGTCTTCCACCAACAATTTTGCACACCCTGCAAGAAGAACTTGGCGTAGACTTGTCCCCATTATGTTAAGCCGCCACCAAGAGCTTGCAACTCGACAACACATCCGCATCGAGAATGTCTGCGGCCATTGAACGGTGACAGTTCACCAATGCTTTTTGTTGACTTCTCCTCTTTGCACCACAGATATGAACTGAACATCATCAGGCCTGTGACTTTTTTGTTTTTGTTGTTGGGCGCCCTCCAAGGGCTCACGACAATGACCGCATACGGAAGCATTGCCGAAACACACTTCGGGATCTCCCTACACATGTAGGGGAAGGCAGAAATATCGTCCATGGTGGAGCTGCCAGCTGCTATGCTAAGCCCAAGCACACTCCCAGTTTATGAGCTGCCAGCTGCTCTGCCAAGCCCAAGCACGCTCGAATTTGCAGGTACGTTTTCAGCACCACACTGTTAGGCTCTTCGTTGGCCGCCCCCTAACAGTGGGTGGAGCGGCCCCCTGCGTACATCTTAAATGAATTCAAAACGACTGATGTGATTTGCTCCGACCCTTGGTCCAACAGGGTTTTGTGCACACACACACACAGAGACACACAAAAAACATTTTTTCTATATACATATATATATATATGCACACAAACGAACAAACAACCAAGTAAGCAAGACAAACAAGCGCAAGCGCGCACAAGCGCACAAATCTCAAAACGCCCACGCAAAGAAAAGGAACACACGCCAGGGCCGCCAGAGAAGGAGGCAAAGAAAAAAAGTAAAGAGGACCGAGAGGTGACGTCAGCTACAGTACGCGCGCGCTGGCATCTAGATGCACTCTGCTGGAGCATGGGGCAGGGGTGGTGTTCCTATCTAGCTGTACACATGCACCACCACCTCCTCTCCCTCTGCTTCACGGGCACCGAATATAACGAAAATGCGGACCTCACCGACGCTCAATCTGGTCTGTGCAACTTTTGCGGCTGCTGCCTTCCCTGATTGTGCTTCACTGTCCACCAAAAGTCACTCCCTGCTTAGGCTTAAACACCTCGGAGTCCTATGCAGTCATGCAGTCGACAAAATTCCGAAGCAGGCATCTTCACCCAGCCTCTGTGCATGCAATGTAACGTGGGCGGTTCTCCACGGGCCGCTTCCGCGCAGCCTGGCGTCGTAGGCCACAGCACAGTTTCTGCTGGTCCGTCCGAGTTTGTCCGTCACTCCCTGCAGTTCTAATGTTGAAAAATAGGTGTCGAACCTCGCGCCAGATCAAGAACCGCTCCTCGAAGCTGACCTGGGAAGAATGTAACAAAAACCCTGGGTGACAAGAATGGGATACTTGAGAAGTCCCCTGGCTTGTTGATTTTTCCTTTCTCTCAACATTTCGCGCAAAATCCGTTTCGGCAGCATCTGCCTCCATTGCGAAACACATTACTAATGGGAACTGAACATTATGCCGATCTTCGGATGCAACATCCGATCGAAGAAAGAAAGGACGGATTGCATTCCCGGACCCCTTCGCCGACAAATAAAGTCAGTCCATCAAGCACACGCAAAGAGCTGAGTCGACAACAGGCAGCCTCTAATTCGTCGGCAAGTACGATGCAACACCTTCACACTCCACACGTTCATTCATCCAAGCCACCGATCCAAGAGGAAGAGATCCGGCAAGGAGCGCCAAGTCGAGCACCATGACCGCCATGACCGCCATGACCGCCATGACCGAGCGAACCCGGGCATGCAACCTGCGCACACACTGTGCAGTTGCCTTTCATGGCAGACTTACACCCGAGCGAGCAAGATTCGCACTCGATTTCGGAGAAAAAAAAACTCCAAACTCCAAAGGCTCCTGTTCTCAACTCGATAGCACTGCATGCTGATGACTTCTCTGCCGAAAGCTTCAGCCGGCTTCAACCAGCGCCTGCGGCCACATCGCCGACTGCGCTTCGCTTGCATCAGTGATGCATCTTAGACTCTTGAAAGAAAGTCAGATCCTTGTGACATGCCTGTGCCGGTTGATGTAGTACTGGCTGGCAAGATAAAGGTTGCACGCATCCTGGTGTTAAGGAAGCAGCAAGGGGAGCTGCCCACCTGCCTACTTCTTTGAACCAAGCACGCCTGCGTTGAAACAAGGGCATTGCGCTGCGATGAAACTTGTTTGAAACCAGCAGCAAGCCCTGAAAAACAAGCCTGGAGTGGCGATGGGAGGCGAAAGGGCACATGATAAACCCTAAGTCCGACCCAACCAGGCATCTCCACCCGAGCCATGAAATTCGCCGGTACCCACCCCTGAACTTGGAAGCACGTCGGAGCTACCTTCAGGAAACGTCACACTAGCAGATCCGAATGTTCTTGATTTCAACCTTCACGCTGTAAATCTTACATGACTGATGCGAAAGCTCCAATCAGGGTAACTTCTTGTGGGGAGGCTGCAACAATGGAAGCGACCTTCTTGCGCGCGCGAGCACTTCGAGAATTTTAGCCTGTGACGCACGCTTGCTCAGAGGCTTCAACAAGGGTCGCTGACAAGCCGGAAAAGTGGGAACCCTGGCTGGAAAAGAAGCGGTCTCTTCACCCGAGATCCGACTCCGGCTATTGCCGCGCCTCCATCGTTATTAAACGATAAGAAAGTGAAGTTAACCCTCCGGGAACCTCCAAAGTGCCTGCACATGGCACGTGAACTACGACGCTGCTCGAACTCGGCTGGTCAAAACGGACGGCACAAGCTTGGCGGCGCTGTTCAACTTGCAAAGCAGCAGGTCAGAAGAGATGTTGCTCGCGATGCCGGTGGAACGATCCTTCAGCGCCTTCGTTCTGAAGGGAGCTAATATATTTCTCCCGTTTTCTGGAAAATGGTCTGTGGACATATGCCTGGCAACCCTCTCGCCGCGCTCGCTGTTCTCGCCCGTGGAATCCAACTATGTGTACCTCAGCTCAAAGGCTCGAGACTCCGTGGTTCTCTTGTGCAATTCATCCAAGAGGCAGGGTGGTAAGGACTTGCACAGCAACGGCCAGCACGAACAAGCACTTTCCCGCGTTGCCTAAGTCAAGGTACATGTGTTGTAAGTGTTGGATACACGCTGCAACCTGCTCAAGTAGAAACACGCTAAGAAGCAACAAACAAAGAACTTATTCGCATAGAAAGCTTCTTCCAACAAACGGTCCTGTCTCGGCAGGCTCTCGCTCTCACTCTGTTCTTCTTGTTTGCTTTGGCTTTCCACTCAGTACGCAAGCTCATCGGGAGTGTCCTTTCGTTGGCTTGCGCTTACTTGACAGCGACCGCTTTAGTAATGTTATGCTAAACCTGTTTTGCATTCAGGCTCCCTGGGTAGCCTTGTGTTTCCTTTGGTCCCTGTAGGCTTCTTGCAGCAACAGCGCCTTTAGCAGCACGGCTCGAGTTTCGCGACCCCCAGCCGCCGAGTGCAGTCCCCTCTTCGCCTTTTCGGGAGGCACTTGCATGGAGGAGCCTCAAGAAGCCGAAAGGGCGCCAGCACTTTCCTAGCGGAACGTCGTGCATGGCGTGTTCCCAAGGCCGACCTTCCCCGAACCTCTGCCGAGGGGTGGGTTCCGCCTCGAGCCACAATCGTTCTCAGGTTCCCTTGTGTCCTTTATGTGCACCGGGCGATGGAGAAAAAAAAACAGGGTGTAGCGATGAATGTGCCAACCTTGAAACAGGTGAGCTCGACCTTAGGCCGAGTGCTTGGCCAAGCTCCATCAAGTAACGCGAAACTGAGCAGAAGACACAACCAAGAAGACAGCCACACGGCTGAAGATGCAGTCACACGACTACAGGGCGGGCTGGGCAAAACCAAATTTCACAGCTCACATGAGCCACTAAAACGCGTGGCTGAAAAAAACAACTTTACATGACTCACAGCAGATGCTGCGCAAACTCAAATTCAATCCATGCGCCTCCAATTGCATGAAAGCTAAGAAGGTTGACATAAAACCCTACATTTGCTACAAAAGAATACACTTCTCTGGAGATGAACTTTACCCACCTTCGGTGGAGGGACGTCTTGCCTTGAGGTGAATGTTCTGCCCCCAAGCAAAGTACAAGATAGTCGCAAGATTGAAAGGAGGTGCACAACATTTGCCGGATGGTGTTCTGCAGCTACGCGATCCACTCGTCCGATCCATGAATTTTTCTTTCTTTCGAGGGGCTTAGGGCCCCTAGAAAGCCCTGCACAGCAGCACGCCCCCAGTGTGTTGTACAGGAGCTGACACGCATTAGGCTATGGTTGAATGACGTTGAGTGGCAATGCACGCTGGGGTAGTAATCCACTTCTCCTTGAGCTAGGCGCCACCCGGGTGGTCTCAAAGTCCGTGATGTTTCACGCGGGAGGCTGAAGACGTTAGGTCCAACTGGACGACATTTTTTCCCGTCTCTCTCCCTCTCCCTTCTTCTTCTTCTTCTACCGGGCATGGAGGACAGGGCAGAAGTCCCTGAACCTCCGTGCGCTGCCTCTCTCTCTCTCTGCTCGCAGCTCGCTGCGGTTGTGGCTGCCAAGCGGCCGGCGCTCAGAGACGGATTCTCGCTGATCATGCGCACGGCACCCCGCATGGCCAAAACAAGCAGCAGCCTCAAATAGTAGTGTGCTTTGACAATTTTGACATGCTTTGGCAAGTGATTTGAAGGGTGCCGAGAAGCGCTTGGTGGCACAGGAGAGTTTCTTTCTTTTTCTTTTTGGCGATGCAAATGGCACTTGTTTGGTTCATGTCCGATGCGGGCTTGGGGAAAACCGTTCTTCAACGCATGGTTCGGAAGGTGTGTTGCACTGTGCGCTCCATGTTGCCGGTGGGACAAGTCATTAATCTTAGCCAGGTCTTCGCCAGGTCTTCGCTATCTCCAGGCGGGCGACAAGAGCTGCATGTTGTGTATCATGTTTGTCCCTTCTGTGTGCAAACCGGGCGCATGGGCAGATGAGAAAAAGTTTTTGAAGACGCATGGAACCTGGTTTCTAGGTGTGATTTCGCTTTAGGAGCCAGTACCACGTTTTCTGTTGTGCTGCTTGTTGTCTCCCCCAGGCCATTGTTTGTAGAGTCTGTGCGAACCACCTGCGTTTTTTGCATCTTATGTCCGTGCAAAGGGCACGTTTTTGTTCTTCTTGCTGTCTGTGCGCAGTGCTTGCTTTTTGTTGCTGCCTGCGCAGGATGCCTGCGTCTCTTGTTTGTGTATGCCAACTTGCCTCTGGCTCACTCGCTGGCCGCGTGGTGTCGACCAACAAAAAAGCACGCACAAACGATAAACGGAACACAGCAAATTGCACATCTTGTTTCCTCCCCGTGTGCAACCCCCCAAATAGCCTTACTGTTGGGCCACTGGAAACTCTAGATTCGTTTTGGCAGCACCTGCTCTTTGCCACGTGCCGGCAGCCATTTGCCAGGTTCTCGGAACCTTTTTAGGGTTTCTGGGATTTCTCATCTCCCTTTGTCCCTGCCTTGCCCCTTGTTCGGAATCGTGCCAAGAAACGTGACATAAATCTTGAGGCCCATGGGGAGGTCCTTGTAGCCTCAGCACAGATCGGGACAACACGACATCGACCCCAAAACCGGCATTGTCGATCCCACAGTCTTAGAGCCTATCAAAAGCGCAAAGTGCTCTTGAAATCCCAGGGTTTGAGACAAATCGCAGGCCAAGGAAGGGCAGCATGTCCCACGCGTGTTGTAGGAAACCTGGGCTGGTTTGGCGTTGATGCCAATGTCGCCTTCAAGCTTGAATCACATTATGTGCGAATACTGCCACGTGATGCGGACCATGAGTGGTCAATCACAGTTTGCTCTCTTTGATGGCTTGGAAATGACCCTCACATTTGAGAGCGCCTTCTACAGTCTAGTTTCTTGGTCTTTCAATCCCAATAAGAATCGCTTACCGTTTCCTAAAACGGGACCCTGTATTCAGGATGCTCAGAAACCCTCGGTAAAGAATTGGGCCTCAGGCCCTGATTGGGGGTCTCTCGCCTGCTACTCTGCTACTCCTAGTTCTCAGCCATGAAGCCAGCAATCCCAAACCTGCCAAGAACCATCGGGACGCAGCTGAAATCCAGTCACTCAAACCCTTCGGGAGCTTGCACGAACCTCACACAAACATCTTACTGACTTGAGGCGGCGCCACGCAATCCGGTGGCTGTGCAGGCGGCGCAACGCGCACGTACGAGTCGAACACGCCTGCATATCCCCGAAGCCGCACCACCAGAAGCCAGAAGCAGTCCGGCTCCAACTAGGTAACTAGGTTGGCCTAGCGCTGTTGCAATGAGGTCACGGGTTCACTTCAAGGGACCTTGAGCTGTGGCCGTTGCTTCACTGGAAGGTGCAAATACATGTGGCTTATTTTGACATGAGGTCCTGGAATCCACGATGTCACATTGAGCTAACATCCCGAGAAAACGGCGGAAGAATGACAAGCAATCCCCTAAATCATACAACAATATGGTATCGCTCTTTCCTCGGCGGCCGAAGTCGAGAGACATCTAGCGTTGCAGCATCCATTCTGGATGGCGAGTTATGCGGCACAGTGGCACCTGCGGTTAGCAACTTAGTCTGAGCCAACCCGCTGCAAGGCCGCAAAAGTTATAATTAGTCCTGAGAATATGCTATTGTTGTGAAAGGGCCGGCAACAAGTCTTGCATGAAACGACCATGCTCTTACAGTGTTTTGAGTCTGAGACAGAAACCCTTCGACAGCGAAACTTCGTTTATCACTACGCCGCCGGCGCTTCAAAACCCCACTTCCCAGTACTTCTCAAGCACCAGATGGGGAAATGGCGAGTTTGCCTGGCCTTGAATACATACATGGCACACGACAAGTCTCAACATTCAGATCTTGACCGACTACCGTCTTGGACTACACACATCATAAATCTTCAATCCTCATAATACGGCTGCTGCCACATGGTGCGCTGAATCATCTCCTCTAGTCTTGCAGCTTCCTGAGGATCTTGCACAGCTCTTATCAGGGTCACGAAGGACAAGCTGCTGGAGGCAGACCCCAACTCTTCGGAAGGGTTAAAGCTACTCTGCCCGGCTTCAGGCAGTGACGACGAACTGGCGGCAGCATCGCGGGTGTGAAAAGTGGAGACCTGGGAAGGAGAACTGGGACCTTCCACAACTCGGGAAGCCCTTGATGCCATTGTCTCCTCTATACTTTGCATGATGAACTCCTCGACGCCCTCACGCGAGTATCCATCCAGCACTTTTATGTTCCAGCCACCACTCTGCCGAATGAGGGTAGCCCATTCCGTGGCACGGCGGTACACCTTGTCTGACTGAGCCAGGATGCACATACAAACCCGGATTGGTTGCTTGGCCGCCGTTTGGCGACTAAGTCCTTCCATAATGGGTTTTGCTTCACGCCAATCCGCCAGGAGAAAAACACGTTCCCGTGGCTTCTCCAACCAGCTCAAAAAGCCTGCAGACTTTTTGTGGAGAACCAGATCTGAACCGAAGCTTGCAGCAATGTCTTGCAATTCGGTCAACGTGTCGCCCTGGTCTGCCTTGTTGCACCGCTCATAGCACCAGACGAGACAAAATTTCGAGCTGGTTGATTGTTCCTGCGGCCGGCAGACGTGCACTCTCGGTGCAGTGGCCATGCGGTCGCGGAGGAAAAATTCAAAAACTAACAATCAAGTCATGCTTGAAACAATGACAGGGTGCATTGTGAGAGTCATAACGCAGCCAGGCATGCGCGAATGTGCCGTACGAACCCTCAAGCTGCTCACTTCTTAACATTGACCAAAGGAATTTAACGCATCGGAACGTAAACTTTGCCTAAACCATGCGCACACGATTGCGAATAATGGCACTCCGATGAGAACCACTTGTGGACAAAGAATGCACACACACGCGGGGTTCTTGCTTTGCAGCACGGATGCCTATTGCCAACGACACGGCAAAAGTGACATCCAGATCTCTCTGGACATCATCGGCAGTCAGCTGCTCGCCAGTCCAAAGTTTGCTGTAGGTTGCATTGAAACCTGAGTATAGCAGGTGGTAGCACGCATTTAACGGGAAGCTTATCACGACAACTCTATGCTTAGCTTCCAAGCAAGTCACTGCAATAGCAATATGACAAAAAAGTGCTCGAAACCTGTGTTTAACCTTGCCTTCAGATTTCAGGGCATACGGCTCGCTAGCTGTCGTGGCACACATGCGCTGAACATACGGCACCGGTTCATCCACGGAGCCTTCCCAACTTTTTTGTAGCCAAGACATTCCTTGGCCGGGTCCTTGCAAGACAATCAGGGCCTATACAAGGCAACATGATCGAGACTTGATGGCTCCCTGACACATGCAACACAACGCCCGTTCCTCGTTGCCCTTGCTCTTCTTGACCGGTCTGGCCGTTAGGACCGTTAGGACGGTTGGGGCCAGGGCCACCAATGAAGCCCGTAACGCCATGCAGGGCGCCCTTTGGTCCCTGGAAGCACATGCAGTGCACGAATGCAACATGACATCACTATATCAGAAACGACATAATCTTGCCCGGATGACCAAGTGCCAATCGCCTCTACGGCATGTGACTCTAACGTACATCCACCGGGTCCATCACACTAAATTGACACCCCCCCCACTGCACTGATTGTCAGATCTGCCTCACGTGCAAGTGTAGCCATCATGGCGATGCCAGCCAGCCAGCAGCAGCATGCACGCCAGCGCGAGCGTGTCACCATGGTGGCTATCGAAACAAGAAGGAAGTGGAACGTGCAGTTTTGTAGATTGCGGGAACGCTACCGTGCAAACCATGTATGAAGGCAGCTTCAATGTCAGGCGCCTCGACGCACGAAAGAAGCTGCGAAGCAATACTAAGACAGTCACTGAACGAGTTGGAATTTGACAAACTTTTCCTCTCTCACAACACTCTAGTCAAGTCGACACTGCTATGCAAGCAGAGCTAGGTTTTGGTTGAAAAACTATGCAAGCACAGCCGTGCTCTCATAACTGTAAACACACATCCATTGAAGGATACATTCCGAGTTCACTGCCAGCACTAGTGCGTTACGAATGTTCCTAGATGTTTCACCTGAGAAGAAACGCTGGCGTAGAAAACCCAGTCGGTGCTTCAGTCAGATCATCAGATCAGATTCGGGCGGAAGCACCCGGGCAGAAGAAAGAAGGGCAGAACGCTGGTCGTGGCCGCCAAAGTTCTTCAGGCGGCAGCTTGACCCACAGGGGTAGCAGGGCCAGCATTCTTCAAGCAGACGCCAGCCAACGAGAGAAGTCCTCTTCCAGTGGGTATGCATGCACGGACAACGTCGTAGGAAATGCAGACCAAGGCACGGCACAACGAGCGGAGTCCGGAAATCCGAGAAGTTGCGGATCATAGCCTCGGCTGAGGCCATCGGCAAGGTCATTGCGGAAGCCGGGGACATGGTCAATGTGAACCGAAATGCATTGACGCTCTTGCAGCAGGAAAAAGGAGCGGAGCAAGACTGAAAATGTTTTGGACTCTCAAAGACGCCTTCAGATGCAACTTGATCTCAAAGTGAAACAACTGAGTGCATGAAATACTGCAAAGCAAATCACATGATAAAATGGGGACTTGCGATACGGCAAAATGTTCAACACCCCGCCTCGATGCTGCATTGAGCTGGCGGAATGCTTGCCTCGTCTACTTCACATTTGCCGATGCCCCACAGGAAACAACAACATACTTAGTTCAGGATTGCACTCCAAAAGTGTTGGCGTCTTCTAAGCTCTGCCTCAAAGGTCTTTGGCTTAGCTTCTACTACGCAGCACTGTACAGCTACGGCCTATGCAGAATCTCTTCCCACCGGCTGGTAAGGACAGAGATGTAGATGCTTGTATAGCCCAAGCGCAAGCACACAAGGTCTTTTCAAGATCTCGTCCAAGATTGAGATGGCCTAGTTACCATCAGGGCACGATTGCCCTCTGCGGGTTCAGGGTGCTCCACACCCATCACAGTCGATGTCGGGTTGTCACAACGAGATTGACACCAAATTGGTGTGACAAAGCTGTAGAGAGATTGCTGGATTTCAAGGTCCACACGGACTGGCAAGTGAAGTTTCATGAGCATCACAAGCTATGTACATAAAGCTATATACATGCGACCACTGCGCAGCATCATGAACATTTCCAAGTGGAATAAAGACACTGGATCATCCTCCACACACCTTGCATGGCTGATAGCCTCGCCTCATGGCTTCACGCTTGCTGTACCTGAGTACCCGCTTCGCACACTTCAGCTGCGGACACTCCCGCACACGGTGGAATGCATATCCACGACTGGCAGTCACGAACACAAAGCGGTGCTCATCAGGATCTCGGATTGGCGGAAGGTCTGGTGTCCGAAGTGGTGCACTAGGCTGGTCGGTGCCTGGTGCTGCAGACGAAGGTCCAGCCGTCGGATCTGGCTCATCCTCACTCGCGTCTCCATCTGTTGCTTGCTGCGGCAAGTTAAGGTTAGGGTCTGTCTTAGGGATCTCGGCGGGTTCGGGACTTATCCTATCCCCGGGAACCGAAACCCCACTAACCTCTACGTGCACTCGCACGGTGGGTGCACTCCCTGCTTTTGCTTCAGCAGTCTCACGCAGCTGCGTCGCTCTGTTCCGTCTGCAACAGAAACAGATACACATAGCAACGAAAATCACGATCTGGCTAAGTGTCAGGCTCACTTGCGGGTGATTAACCATGAAGTCATGGATCAAGAAAATCGCATGTAGCACCTTTTCAAGAAAACTCCACAGCATGCTCTCGTAGCCACCATCAGCCTCATCGCTAGTGTTCTGGCCCAAGGCGTCAGCACTGGTATTGGGCTCATCTGGGTTGACACCAGCGATGCTATCAAGCTGAAGGATTAACGCAAGAACCTGAAGAACTTGTTGCACGTTCACAGATCCCTTCTTGACTACTCTGCAAATCTTCCGACGCGATTCGTGATCAAGCAGCTCTGACTCGCTGACGACTTGAAACCCATTGTCCTTGCAGCGCACGTTCAGCTTTCCAAGTAGGAACTCAATCCTCTCAGGCTTAAGTGCTTTCGTCGGCAAGTCCGACACGTTGTCTCGCGTGCCCACGGGAATCACTTCAAGAAGTTTCTCCTGTGTCTTTTGCTGCAGCCACAGCAACTTCCCGTCTATGTGCCGTGTTCGTCCTACCCCTTGACGATTGCCAAGGGATCTGGCGGCAGCATTGTCGCATAGGCACGACAACTTAACATCAAGCTCTGGGCACACGTGGCATATGCAGTTCTGCAACAGGATGGCGGTGGCGCTGCCTGCAACAAGCGAGTTATACTCGGCTTCACACGACGACAGGCTTATAACCTTTTGCGTGTGAGAGCTTGAATACAGCAGTTGGCCATCCCATACCACGCAACAAGCGGACACGCTGCGGCGTGTGCGTTTGTCTCCACTCCAGTCGCTGTCTGAGAACATTTCGAGCACTGATGTTTTGTGCTCAGACACACGGTTGCACACCAGCCCCTTTCCCAAGGTTGGCTTTGAAAGCCCGATCACATGTGACCGATGGGAACTCACATAGCTCGTGAGGTGCCTTAGCAGTTTCCAGCACCCTTGCGTAGGCTTGTGTGCACGGGTCGCGAGATACCGGATGCCGAACTGAGATGCCAGCAAATCAACGCTCAGATACATGAGTATTCCCAAGGCAGATCTGTAGCGCGTCGCCGTTTCCGGATCAAGCTCTGGGTCCGGCTCGCAATCGGTTGGCAGTCCCCCAGTTGGGAACGGTGCTGCCTTGGACCTCGCCTTTGCACCTGATAAACCCGTTACTTGAAGAAGTTTGTCCAAGTACTTAACATCCGGCTCTACAACCAAAAGCTCAGGGCTTACAAGGATATGGCGCCTCTTCAGAAAAATTACTTGGTCTCCAACTGAACGGATCCAATCAACCGACACTTTGAATTTGCTTTTCAGATGCCTCTCTAGATCCTCCAAGCGCTTCACGGGTCCTGTGCACAGCATGTCGTCAACATGCACCATGCCTGCCCCAGCTGGCTTTGGGATCCTGAACAAGACAGGCTGTTCGGCAAGCGGCTCTGCCTCAACAGCTGTTTTGATTTCCTGCATGAAATCCCGAAACCAGGTAGCCGACCCGTCTCTCTGCCCTGGCAACATGCGTAGCAGTCTGTACCATTGACCATTCACTTTGGTCAGGGTTTCATGCTCTTGCTTGCATTGGAGAAAGGCGTCTGAAACATCTAGGCTCATCAACGCCCATCCTTCGTGGAAGTGGCGAACGAAGAGGGCTGGTATGATGCGCAGCATGCATTGCGTCGTGGTTGGCGCAAAGAGATGCTGTCTCTCTGGATCCAAGTGTGCAAACTCTCTTGCGACTAACCTTGATCTCCTCAACCACTTCTTTTCGCCACCCAAAGTTTTAGCACGCCAGCTGCGTACATACTTGGATGACAGCGTCCTGTCGCCTGGCTGCCACGATTGCATTTGCTCAAGCACACTGCTGCCCAGGAGGCGTGCAAGCTCGAATGCATCTGCTGCAGCATCAATTTCTGCTTGCTCAGATGCGCTGCACTGCGGCTCGATTTCACTGAAAGGCTTGATCAAGATTGAAGGGATGTCAAGGTCAGAACCAGGCTGTTCTGCCCACTCACTTTGATTGTCTTCCTGGTCTTCGCAATCAAGAAATTGCTCTGCACTTTCATCTACCAACTCAATGGATTCATCAAGATGGAACATTTCTGCATCATGTGCACTAACTTGCAAAGCATCAAGCCTCAGCTTCTTCCGGGCTGGCGCATCCCCGCCTGCGTGTTCGGCGGCAGGCCTCACGTCTCCTGGTGATAGCATGCTCTCACCTTGGTCCATGCTCGCCATAGGAGAATCCAGGGGGGCGACCCCTATTGGTGTTTCAGCCTGTGGCGGCTGGAGCGGTGTTGAGCTCATGGGCGTAGGTGGCTCAGGTGTGTATGCAGCTGGCATGCGTGGCGGTGGTGGCACAAGCTCCGAAAGCATGGCATCGTCAGGCAACAAGTGTTCTGGAAATGGCATGGGATGCTCTGATGCTCCCTGCTGCGACGGCACTTCGGCCACTTGCTCATGTGCCGCCTCTCTTGCCTCTTCCCCGCCTGCGCTCAACGCCTCTGCCTGGGTCTTCTGCTTGCGTGCCTGGCCAACTTGTCCTGCAAGGAATGACGCTTGCGTCCACGGCATGTCTACCAGACTGGCACACATTGTCGCTAAATATTGCTTAGGCAACCTGCGGATGGATCTGGAAGATAGCATGTAACCCCCTTCAGTGACTCCAAAATGCAGGTCTGAAACCGGAAGTTTCCCTAGCCAAAGCATTTTGCACCATCTAGCTTTTCCTTTTATGGAACTTTTGACACGGGCAAACACTGTCTCCCCAAAACACACCAATTTGCCTAGGTATGGCCGCCCATTGATCACGTGAAAAGCACTTAGATCATTTTGCCTAGACATCCGCGTGTGCAACCAAGCGGCGTGGCGCCAAGCATAGGCGTGCATCGGGTGGCTGGACCCGATGGTGGTCTCTGCCCGCTCTTCAAATTGGTCCAAGATGCATCCTGCCAGTTGTCTGATGCCGTCTATGCTCTGCTCGGCCTCGTTGCCCTGATGATCACTCGCCTCCGTCTGCTCAAGATGGGTCTGGAGGCCCATTTTGCTGCGGAAGGCCTTGATGCCTCGTTGCAGGGCCAGGCAGGCCGGCTCTGAGTCTGACCTTATGGTGCATGTTTGGTGGCCACAGTAGTTCAAGAATCTGCAAGTTTCGGCAACAAGGTACTTGAAAGCGATTGTGCCACCCTTGGCAGGTGTCGGAATGGCATGGACTGCACCAGTGTGGGAATCCTTCAACACCAGCACCACAAGTTTCTCTTGCGTGTGACCTTCAAACTGGGCAGGAGTGCGCCTACCAGTATATGCAAAATCCATGCAGCACACGGAATCCTCACGCACATCTGGCTTTGCACGCACATGCTTATCTGCTTTAGCTCTGAACCTCACGCAACGCGGGCACCAGTCAGCATAAGGCATGTGACTCAACTCGTGGCGCCTCTGCTCCTCAGCCGTGGGTGCTTCCACGAACTTTTGCTCACGCAACGGCTCACGCCCATCTGTCTGGAACTCGTGTTGCTGCAGCAACTCCTGCGTCTTCAGGTGCTGCTCTATCCTCTGGAGGACAGTCTTCTTGCCCCCTGACTTCCCTATCCCAAGGACTTGGCACGCCGTTCTGAGGGTGCTGAGGGTGCAACCCAAGTGAAGCTCGATGCCGTTCACGATTACATGCCCTTGGGCCGGCACATCCTCTGCTTGAACAAGTGGTCCAACGCCTCCCCCGTCATCACCAGCAGCAACATTTTCATCGTGCTCATCATGCTCTTCAAAATTCATTGCATCATCTGGCACATCGGGAAAATCATCATCGGGCGGTGCTGCTGAAGGCATGGCATTGGGCACACGAGAGAACAAGCTGTCGATGTTCACGGGATGCACAGAACCGATGGTGATGGTCTAACGGTTCACCGGAGGGGCAATTTCGCAATCTGCCTGATCAAGATTTTCCACAAGGCTGTTGACCTCGATCACTTGCCAGCCTGTGGGTCTCTGCTGCAGTGTCGTCCTGTATGCCACCCCTTTGTGCCCAAGTGGGACTGTCACATCAAGGAAGTTTGTGGTGTAATCTCTACGGGCAAAGATGCCGGGCTGGACCTCGACAAAATTATCCGGCAGGCTTAACCAAACATCCCCAACCGTTAGCGCCATCACAGCTCTGTCGGCCTCGTGATCAGTACATACTGATACATTCATGATTGTTCCAGTGGCGTGCAAGGAATTGTGGCGATAATGCAATGGTACACGGATCGCATTGTCCGGGCTCGTCAAGAAAGGGGTATTGTCGGTATGTATCAGATTCCAACCCCGTTTGAGGAGTTTCCCCACACTAAACAGCGGTTGCGTCACACTCCCCAACAACCACCTTTCCTTGAACTGAACCCCATCTATGTCAAGCACTGCCGTCCTCATTTGTGATCCCGAAATCACACTTCCCTGAGCATCACGATAGCTGTTTGTCGTGATGCCACCAGCAACCCCAACATGGCGCCAGGATTCGGGCAGGCACGACTCGTCTGAGCCTGAGTCTATCACTAGCTCTATAGTGGTTCCTGGCAGGTCAGAGGTCACTGCGCGCACATGCAGCGCATCGCGCGCATCAGCACTCTTCTGAGTCATCAATGCGTGCCTTATCCTCGCCGGGACATGTTTGCTGACTTCACACTTGCGCTTGGTGTTGCATTCGGCGGCAAAGTTGCTCGCATGGGTGCTCAAACATGACAGTGCACGGGCATTCCCGGCACTCGGCGTCAAGTTGATGACATGCGCTTCGCCCTCAGGCACGGTCCAGGCACCATCTTCATCTGCATATGACATGTCAAACATCTCAACGCTGGTGCTCTGAACAACAGGCTGCAACTCGGCTGGCTTAGGTGAAGTCACCGCTGCATTGGCAACCGATTGGCACAAACTCACAAAGCTCAACCAACTTGGGTCAGGGTCGCCCTGGTGGGATTGCCCATCACACATGAGCACTGCATTGATGCGACCCTCTTGGCAAATGGTGAACTCCGGGCCTGTCATGTCAATCGCAACACGAGCAACGCGATGCTGGGTGGTTGCAGTGCTTGGCGCAACTTGAGAAACTGAAGGTCCGAGCGTGCTCACAGTCGTTGCGGTGTCGGAAGGGTGCCCAGATGGTGCATTCTGGACTGCTTGGACACGCGGTGCACTCCAACATTCACTGGCATAATGACCCTTCTTACCGCAATTATGACATGTTCCCTTTGCACGCTGGCCTTTACCTGTGCCTGGGCTTTCTTGGTGGGGACCTTTGCCTTTGGGCTGCCTCTCCTTGCCTTTGCCTTTGGGATGCCTCTCCTTGCCTTTGCCTTTGGGCTGCCTCTCCTTGCCTTTGCCTTTGGGATGTCTCTCCTTCCCTTTGCCTTTGGGATGCTTCTCCTTGTCCTTGCGAATTAACGCATCCACTTCCATGGGCACTGGCGATTGCTCTTGCCCAGCACTTGGCGCCATGGGCACCACACCCAAAGCCTGGTGCATCTTCGCTGAGGTCCAGGAGGTGGTTGTCACCTCATAGCCCAGGACGTAATCCCTGATGCTTTGGTATGTGCTAGCTTCAGACATTTGCAGCTGCACATGTTGCCTCAGCGCATGAGGCAGGCAACGGACCAGTGTCCCTAGCATCACGTGCTCACCTGGCGAGTTGTTGGTGACCTTGCGATATTCTTCAGCTACCCTTTCTAACCCCTGAATCTGTTCACGAAGGCTCCGGTCTTTCGTGAAGGTTGGCAGGCTCATCAAGGCGTTCAGAAGGGCTAAACCTCGGAACTTGGTTCGTGGTGCAAACGTGTTTGTCAGGACTCTCCAAACCTCCAGGCCACTCTTGTCAGGCACTTGGCGAAGGATTGCTTTAGGCTTTGCACGCAGAACACTGGCAAGGATTGCCAACAACCGCTGGGATCTCGCGACGCGGGCTGCGTCGGCTGTGCTCAGATCCACCGGCGTGTTGAGGTTTTCCTCCACGATCTTGAGGTCCGTTTCGTACTCATGATCCGCGAAGACTAGCCAAGTCCGAAAGCTATGACTCCATTCAGCCCATTGAGCAACATCATTGTCATGCACAGCACTACCAAACTCCGTAGGACGATTCAGGATCTTATTTGCATCGGCAAACCCTGCTGTACCGCTCGAACTTGAGGGCCTGGCAACGGCTCTTGAGCAGCCTGTGCTGCAGCTTGGGCCGTCTCGACCATCTGTGCCATCAGCATCTGCATCTGGGCCATGTCAAGCTGTCCTGCTGCAGGGCTGCCTGGGAGGAACGGGTTTCCAGTGCCACTGGCTGTGGCTTCCTGAGGCAACACGGGCAACTGCTGGCCTTGCGAGGACTCCATCGGGACTGTGTTTAAGCAGAAAATTGCTCACTCCAAATCAATCACAGAATCGGACTGCTTCAATGCACGGTTGAAGGTTTGGCTCGCACGAGGAGACTTATGGCGACGCTTCAGGCCTTGACGGCTTGCTGGAGACGCGGGACGCACTGAAGAGCTGGCAGGCTCACAATCAGTGCCACGCAACAACAAGTGAAGCTCTGCGTCGGCTGCTTCAAGATCTCTCTCAAACGACGAGCTCTCTTCTTGAGGGTGCAGATGTGCAAGCTGTGTGCTCTCAGGTACACAGCTGTCAGCAACCTCCTCAGCCCCGTACACAATGAAAGCCTCTCTGAGATCTCCCTGGCTAAGGCACTTAAGTCCAAACTGCCACACCTCAGGCACGGAGTGCAGTTGCTCAAGACGCTGCTCAAATGCTTCCTGATACCTGTAAAGGATCTTACCCCAAGAGACTTGCGACCTATTCTCAGGTTTGGGCCTGCGAACCAACTGCTCAACGTAGAAGCTATGCAACCTTTCCTTGAGAAGCTCAGTCGACTCCTGGGTCGCCGTCTTGCTCAGGCACGCAATGGCTCGTCCGGTCGGCCCCGGGAACTGCAAGCTACGGGTCCCTGAATCCTAAACCAACAGGACAACGTCAAGAGGCTCCACACGAACTTCGCCTTGCAAAGAACGAGAACCCCGTGTCTCGAAGCTTGGGTCAGCCCAAGCTCCGCTACCATGAAAATGTTTTGGACTCTCAAAGACGCCTTCAGATGCAACTTGATCTCAAAGTGAAACAACTGAGTGCATGAAATACTGCAAAGCAAATCACATGATAAAATGGGGACTTGCGATACGGCAAAATGTTCAACAAAGACACACAGTCCTTTGGCAAGGGACAGTCCCTTCCAGGCTGCACTGTCCGAAGCGGAGTTGTCGCAGCGGAAAGTAACATGTAAGGGCGGATGGCCTGTTGGCAGGAGGCACGACAAGAGGTGCAGAAGGGCACACTGGGCGAGCAGCTCCCAGGCCGCAATATAGCGTTGAGGAGCTTGGTCGGCAGGGAACCACGGGAACTGGGCATGCAGTTCGCTCTGCGAAAATGTTTCCTGGAAGAAGAGGCATCGGCCATCAGGCAGGCGGACAAAACCGCCGAGGCCGGCAGTTGTTGACGAAGCACAATCATCCGCTACAGCTTCACATTAAAACTGCGGCCACATGATCATGGAACGGAAGTCGGTGCCGGAGCGGCAAATCTGCAGCCACATGTCCATGACCTCGCGCGAGGCATCGGAGATCATTCTCTCTGGGTGGGACAAGTCAGATACTTGGACCCAAAGGCGGCTCGCCGAGGGCGGACATTTGGGAAGTTGAAGCTCAGCCTTCTTGCCAACCGCCCACTGAGCCACACGGAACAGCCGGGACCCTTGAAAACAGCAGCCAGACCAGAGGGCGCAATGATCTGAAGATCATCCGAGAGTGCCGTCTCAAGGCGTTCGCAGGCTTGCGCAGACAGCGGAATGTGAGTGAGTGAGTGGACGGCCTGGGGTGCACTCCGGCCAACGGAAACGTTCCCTCCCGCCATCTCTTCCCCCCTCCGCTTGCGTCATTGGGGAGGTCCGGCAAGAGTTCGACGCTCCGAGCCCCTCAATCCGAGCTGGGAAAAACGCCATTCGAACCTCCATGGGCCCGCCCCCCCAAGCCGGGCGGCTTGGGTTGGATTTGGGCACTTAGGCAAGACAGCCCACTTCACAGGCGGCGGAGCTTAGCGGTGTCCAGGCGGACTGTAAAAGTGCGGAAATCAAATTGCCATCCTATCCAGACCACGGAGGCGGACAGCTTGGCCTTGCGCCAGCGGCAGAGTACAGAGGAGACACGCAGCGGAACGCCGCCTGGCACAGACCAAGCGCGGCACAGAACTAGCCGCTCCAGACGCGCAGGCCTGAGTCAGCGGACAGCAGCCGGGGGTTCTATGGAACCTGACACAGGAGAACGCGCAAACCGAGCGCCGCACCAACTGGACGTACACCGTTCCAGCAGCGCAGAGCCTGAGTCAGCGGACAGCAGGCGTGGGTTCAGCGGAACCGGACACAGCGGAATGCAATGTTGCGCAAACCGACTGCCGCACAAACTGGACGCAGACCGCCGCAGACCGTTCCAGCAGCGCACGTTCGCGACTGCAGCGGCAGACGGAACGAGTTGCGGCAGCAGGAACAGGTTCAGCACAAGCATAAGCAATGTGAGAACCGGAGTAGCGGGCGGACCTGACCGGCCGAACTCCAGCTTTCTAAGAGAATGCGTCTCAAAGAAGCTTACAAGCCACGGCTCGGGCGGAAAGCTAAACGCTAGTGCAAACAAAAGCCGAGGACAAAGGGTTAGCTAGAGCTAAATCTTGACCAGGTGAGTCGAACGGACTAGCACAAGATAGCAGATCCGCCCATCCAGTCAATAGCCGCCAAGGAGTCTATGGGAGGAAGCTTCACGACCGAGGTATCCAGTGGGCCGACTTGGCAGCGACTTCACTCCTGCGTCTCATGGCAGCTCTGGCCCGGAAGCCGTGCACGAGGACACAAAGCTCTGGGAGCAGCGTGGCATGGACAGCGCCCTTCTCCCCGCCCACCACCTTTCTCCCACGTCCCAGTGGGTCCCAGTGGCGACCATGGGCACGAACACAGCTTTCTGACTTTTGCAGGCCTGAGCAGTGTTCATGTGTGCTTCTTTGCGCCTGGCGTAAGCGTCCGCAGCTGCTCCCATCTCTTTCCCTGCCAAAGCCCGGCGAAATCCAACGCAGCAGGGTGTCCGGCAAGGGCGAGACTAGCCAATTGGCTGTCCTCTGGCCTTTGGGGAAGCAGAATGCCCTCAGGCTCTTGTTTCAGGTTGCAGACCAGGTCAGCAGTTGCAGGACTGGTCGGGCGCGAAGTTTCCAGGTGCACTGGGTGCAGCCACAGGGTTTTGTCAGAAGGTGGTCTCACATCACCAGCCATGGCAACAAGGATGAAGGCCCCTAAACCCTAGGCCCTAGGAGCCCAAAGGCTAGTACACCCCCTCGCCGCTCAGGAGTCCGCAGCTAGGCGAGTCTGCCGTTGCGAAGATGGGATAACAGGTCACGATCCATAACTGGTGAACTGATCCGAAAATGCCCGAAACGTGGAGGTTCAATTCAATGATTTATCCAAACAAAGGCAAAAGACCTCTGCACGGTCCTTGATCCATCCAATGTCATGCTGCTTTTTTTCGTGTTTGAGCTACATGCCAGACCGTAGAAGAGTGAGTTGTGAGTTGAAATACGTTCGTCTGAACATTTGCAGGTAAAGGTTCTTAGTAACTTGCTGAAGTCTTGTTGGGATGACTCAGGCAAGGCTATGGCTACACACCTCCTGCGTTGACAGGCGTCAGGGACGTCCCAGCCACTGGCTCAGCATCTTTTCGCACCAAGTCTTGATGCAGTTCAAGGCACTGGTCATACACATCAAAATCTAGATGTATCTAAATTCACCCAAAAGTAAAACCCCAATGTACGAAAGCTGGATGGCGAATACGGAGTCGTGTTGATGAGCCAACCCAGCGCGAGTGAGGGTCGAACGAGTCGAAAAAGCCAAAGACCGTCCGACAACAAGGAAGACCAAGTCAGAAAATGGAAAGGCTTGAGTCAGAAAACCGAGGGGTCAGAAAACAAGACAATGAGTCAGAAAACGGCCCCAAGCACGCAAAGGTTAACTAACCTCTGCAACGTGCAGCAACGTATAGCCCCCTACCCCTACCCGTCTATCTTCAGGGGGATAGACCCCCTCTCTGCAGGGGTCTGCCGGACACCGGTAAGCCGATGTATTGGAGGAGGTTCCAAGGTTGGGTCAGTGGAGTTCTCGGAACAACCCAACTACACTAAATAAACGTGCACAGTCACTCCTACAGCTTCCAGACACACATTCCTACAACTCAAGCACTTCTGGACATCCTCTCTTCGCATGGTCTTGCACATGCTGCATGGATCCGAAACAGGTTCGCTGCTTCACGCAGAGATGAGTTGTTTCAAAAGCCTATCACGTGAGCACTGTGTTTGCACCGGCGGTGGGGAGGGACTGCGGCCCCTCCAACCCTCCCGCATTTTCAAAGCTGCGCAAGCTTCCTTCAAATACGTCATTGGCTTAGGAGGACTTATAAAGGTTATAACCACCTTAGACAAGTTAAGATAAGTCAGAAAAGTTAGAAGTTAGAAAATATTGGAACAAGTTGGCTTTCTGAGGAAGGGGAAGACCAGAAACAAAGAAATGCGCCATAACTGCACCAGCGAAGTTGGTGTCCCTTGGGCTTGTCCCGTACTCTTTCTCTTGTTATATTTCTGAAATTTACTTAAACCTGTTTTGTAATGGGTTCAATGAACTTAAAGCTCCAATGACCCCAAGCCAAAACCCTCAACCCTAAACCCTAAGCCCCAAGCCTCAAACCCTAAAACCCTAAACCCTCTATTCTGGAGGTTGATTTCTTGTAATTTTCAACCTTTTATTTTCCAAACAAAAATGTTTCAAATGTATGAAAACATTTCCTGGCTGAAAGTACAGGACAATCTATCGATGCTATGCTCATTCATTGGTGTCCCATGCACAGCAATGCAATTCACATGCACAGACTGCAATGACATGCACCCTCACGCTAACAAGACTGAAGCTTAAGCACTGGCATCTTGTCCAAGGAAGGGGATTTGCCATGTCTGCTTCCATCCGAGATCTGTCCTCTGCAGGTGTGTGAGAAACGAAATCTCCCCCGTGAAACACTACACAAAGTGCTGAAAGCAGAGTTCTCTGCTGCACTCAGAGGTTCCGCCTAAGTGAGCGGCCTGTCAATGGTTGAGTTGAACAACGAAGTGCACACACGTTCCAAGGTGCACCGGTAGATCGTTGAGGTTCGTGCTGAAAGGCACATGACGACCCTGCATTTCCAAGCGGCAACTGGAAGTACGTAAGTCATGCCCAGAGCGATGCCACACATCGTCAGCAACCGCAAACTTGACGTCGTCAACTGTTCCTGTGGTCGCCACTCTACAAAGCACAACATCCACAACCGGCACATTGGTTACCATCACTGCCAGCCATTGGATCCTTGATTCTCTGTTCGTGTCTTCATCAGGACCCGCTGTTCCGGCATCACGTTTCATCCCAACTGCCAAATGTAAGGCGCTATTGGAGTGGGTGGGTGGGCAGAAAAATTTTCCCGACCCTCTCCACGAGGGTTGTGACTGAGAAGGCTGTGGCCTCTCTTCGTCTGAGCCGAAAAACTTTCTCATTCGGAGAATTCGAAAATTTTTCTCCGGAAAATAAAGGTTTGTACTTGCAGCACGATTACCTTATTTTCCAAACAAAAATGTTTCAAATGTATGAAAACATTTCCTGGCTGAAAGTACAGGACAATCTATCGATGCTATGCTCATTCATTGGTGTCCCATGCACAGCAATGCAATTCACATGCACAGACTGCAATGACATGCACCCTCACGCTAACAAGACTGAAGCTTAAGCACTGGCATCTTTTCCAAGGAAGGGGATTTGCCATGTCTGCTTCCATCCGAGATCTGTCCTCTGCAGGTGTGTGAGAAACGAAATCTCCCTCTCTTGGTCGGGGAGAATGCAAGTCCCTTCCTTGGTCATGGGGGTTTCAGGCCCAGCGCCCGACTAGCGAGTTTACCAGCTTGGCCATTTCCGCGAGAAGCACCTGGTCTTGGAACCTGCAATTGTGCGGCAACCCTGTAAAGTCAAGGCGGGACGGAGCATCCGCCACGTTGGATTTGCTCGGTACCCGAGCGTAGAACGGAATCATCTCAAGCTCCTGTTCCAACAATGCGCAAGCATTGCTCAAGAGGGTCAAAACCTCTGAATCGCTGGTCAGCTTGAGGAGCGTTATGCGCGCTGCTTCATTGTCTAAGTAGCACATCACGTGTTTCCCCCGGAGAAACTCTCGGGCTAGAATGAAGAGCAGGAGAACAGCTATGCTCTCGAGCTCGTTGATGACTTTAGACTTTCCTTGCAGGAGTTTCTCAGCAAGGTCATGCGGCAACACAATGCCAAACCAGCACAGGATCTGCCCCTCCTGATTGAACAGGACTGCTCCCAGACCCATTTCGAGGCCTTGGAGTCCTTCTTGCGAGGCGTCCGTAAAAGCGTACACCGTCTCTGAGGTCTGGGCTCGTACCGTTCTCGGCGACGCTTCGGCTATGTAATGTCGTAGCCCCTGCAGTGCTGCGCAAAGGGAGGCTTGGTTTTTGGCAAGCGCCCAGAGAGTTGGCCCGCCACAAAGTGCAGCCTTCCCCTCAGTCGATTCCAGGTCTTAGGGCTTGAGGCTCCTTGCTCCTGAAAGGCTGCCAGGTCTTCAACGAGACTTTTGGTCCGCTCTGCTGTATTCTGGATCCTAAATATCTGCTTGTTGCTGTCTGTAAGGTCAAATTCGACCCCCAAAGATCTGAAGACCTCCTGGAACGGCGCAGCCTTGTCTCCGTCTCTGTCAAACTCAAAGCCGAGCAAGTCTAGCAGAAAACATGCACTGGCCTCTGCGCTAGTGGCCAGCTGTCGTGTTGACAACAACGTGAAGTCATCGTAAAACGAGCTCCAAGGCAAGTGCCAAAACGTGTTTCCTATATGACAAATAGCCAAGCTGACCCTGATGAACGCATGGACCGCCGCCACGGCGCCGAATGGAAGGCAAAGAAGCCTGAAGAAGCGAACCTCCCCCGAACTGGGGTCCTTGACAGCCACGTAAGCCATGTTGAGTGCCTCGTTGATGTGGCTCTGGGACAGGTCGTCGATCGGCCTGACCTTGTTCCCTTGCTGGATTGCAAAACGTTTGCTGATTACAGCTCCTTGTGGCAGGTCCTGTTCTCGGAAAGGTCCTTCCGACCAGCCTTTTGATACTTCATCGAGACTTTTCTGCCACAGTTCTTCCAGGAACTGAGATGAGTCCTCAACTTCCTTGATGACCTGGTGGTTGGTCTCCTGTGTCAGTTGGGACAGGTCCTTCAGGGAAAGGAATGCTGGACGAAAGTCGGTGGACCAGCCTGCCGGAAGGTCCAAATGCCCCACAAGATCAAAACCCTGTGCCAGGTCGTCTGCCACTGCCTTGTCGGCGTAGTGGGACGCTTCACGCCCGTCAATGAAGTGAGTGGCACAGGCAGCCATTTGGAAGCACGCTCCAAGCCCGTCGCCATACGCAGGTAGGTGCCAAGATGATCAGGGGCCCCAAGCCTCTGGCGAGTGAAGATGTGGCACGAGCGAAGCCCGCTCAGAGTCATACAGGAAACAGGATGCCTTGCAAGTGACGAAGACACATACTCCGAAGGTCGGGCCAGTCGAGCAATTAGTTGTGATGACATCAAAGAACCTGCGCAGGGCACCCAAGTGCGCCACTAAAAATTGTTTGAAGTGCGTCATGTCCCATAACTGTAGGTCGCCTGCAAGGGGGAAAAGCGGGGAGCGTTGGCATGCTTCCATGAGGCTTATGCCCGGTTCCCCAAGGTGTGCCAGCGTTGAACTTTGACGCAGGTGCTCCTTGATCTGCAACGAATAACGCGCAGTTCTGGTGGCGGCGGCGCTTGCCTGGCCGCAGTTCCCACCTTTGCAAGACGCTTGCCTGCACAGATGAGTGGCCGCAGCTCCTGCCTTTGCGGGACGCTTGCCTGCGCAGGCGAGCGTTTGCCGCGGCCTGCACTGGCCTTGCCTTCAACCCCAAACCCTAAACCCTAAACCCCCCACTCTAAACCCTAAACCCGCCCACCACCCCTCTGTGGGCGCAGGCGCTCAACGAGACCACGCAGGCCCGATCTAGGCTGATCGGGCCTGCAGGCACACCCCTGAGGGGTCGCCAGCTTGGTCGCATTTTCATAACCCGTAAACCAAGCTTTGCTTGCAAGGTGTCCCCTAACCCCTCCCAGTATGGGGGGCTCTAAACCCTCCAAGTTGCCAGTGGCTCCTCACGGACAGTGAGCCTTTTTAAGCTTCTCTCGGACAGTTTCTAAGCCTTTGTGGGCCTTCTTCCGGACAGTTTCCGAGCTTTTTTGGGCTTCTTCCGGAAAGTTTCTGCGCCTTTTTGGGGTTTTTCCGAACAGTTTCTGGGCCCGCACATGCACAGGCTCAAGGTGCACAGACTCTTCCAGGTCAGGCGTGCTTACTGGTGCCAGCAAAGGGCACAGGCTCAAGGTGCACAGGCTCTTTTGGGTCAGGCGTGCTCGCAGGCGCCAACACACTTAAGGCGCACGCCCTTCCGGGTCAGACGTGCTTGCAGGTGTCCGCAAATGCACAGACTCAAGCTGCACAGGCCCTTTCTGGTCAGGCGTGCTTGCAGGTGCCGCACATGCACAGGCTGTGCACAGGCTCAAGGTGCGCAAGCCTTATGCGTCTGTGTAAGTCGCAACTCATCCGTCTGTGTAAGACGCAATTCTGCACGTTGTCCTGCGTTTTGGGTGTAGAAGGGCTTAGAATCGCACTGTTGAGGTCTGCTGGCCGCAAACCAAAGGCGATTAACAAACGAACGGTCTTTACGGCCTCTGTGATAAGGGAGTAAGCTTCTTAAACTGATGCCTAAGTCTTCTCCAGCAGGCCCAGAATGATTAGACCTCTTAAATTGCTGCCCAAACCGCCTCCGAAAGGCCCAGAAGTGCTTTCTCTCAAACTGATGCCTCAAATATCTTCAGAAGGCCCAGAAATGACTAGGCCTCAAACTGCTGCCCAAACAGTTGCCTGAAGGCCCAGAAGTGATTAGGCTTCTCAAACTGCTCAACCCTCCCTGGAAGGCTCAGAAGTGATTGGGCATCTTAAACTGCTGCCTAAAACTTCTCCGGAAGGCCCAGCAGTCAGTGGACCTTTTAAACTGCTGCCTAAAACTTCTCCAGAAGGCCCAGAAGTGATTAGGCCCCGCAAACGGCTGCCGGAACCTTCGCCAGAAGGCCCAGAAGGCATGTGAGAAACTGCTGCTTCAACCTTCTCCAGCAGGCCCAGAAGTGATTAGGCCTTACACTTTGCTGTGGGTCCCGCATCAGGTGTACCGTTGCAGCTCCCTTTCTGCTGCAGCATTACAAAAGCAAGCAGCTGCTTCGGACAAGCCCCTGATCCCCAAGCTTATGTTCTGCACGCTGCTCCCCAAGGTTCCTGGAACAAGGGCAGGCGCAGGCATGCTGACGAGACCCAGCTGCGTGAGCCCAGGGCTCAAACTTGCGACCCCAAAAATGGGGCCATCTCGCGGCCCCAAAAATAGGGCCACGAAATGCACCCAGCTTCCCTTATTATAATGTGTAAATACATGAAAAGGCTGGAACTGCGACCCCAAAATTGGGGCCGCCTGGCGGCCCCAATTTTGGTGTCGCTAAATCTGCATTTTTCGAGTTCCCCACAGCAACTCTGACCTACAGGCAAGCTCCTAGCGTGGAGAATTTTTTTTTTAAAGAACAACGACCCCCCACAGGCAGCTTTCTTGCGGAAGTGATCAACATAATAGAAACGGGCACCGGGGAGGCCACGCACAAGCGGACGTGACTTTTGCACACAAAAGCGGACCCAGAATCTGGCCTCGGAACAATTTCCTGCGCAAAGACCCGGAGCACATATGGAAAACCTACTCCTGCGGAAAAATACAGCTGGGTTAGCCCCAGCGGCTCCTGGCTGCCTGGCCGCGTCACTTCTGATTCTCCCTGCCATCAGTATCCACCTCCACAACCTCACCTGGCAGCGCTGCAAAGCCGCACGACACACTGCGCCGCTTGCATCTTGCCTATCTGGACGAGCGCCGACCGCATCATGTGACAAATTCCAAAGCTTGAAGTAACGCTGAGGAAATCCATGGTGCCATGGAAGCTCATGGAAACCCTCGCTGAAGCTTCTGACATCTTTTTCCAAAGCCGCGCAAAGCATGAGAAAACCAATCGAAACCCCGCGGAGATTTTGCAGGAACCCTCACAAAGCTCCACTGGAAGCTTCAAAGACCTGCGCACGACCTATATAAGAAAACCCACAGAAACCCCGCGGAAACCCTCACACAGCCCTAAGAAACCCACGGAAACCCCTTCAAAGCTGTCAAAAACCATGGAAAACCCACGGTCACCTTCAAAAGACATTAGAAAAACCTTCCGAGAGCTTCAAAAACCTACGCAAAATCTAACAAAACCCACTGAAACCCCGCAAACCTTAGAAAACCCCAGGGAAACCATCTGAAAGCTTTTAAAAAACCAAGGCAAAACTTGACAAAACCCACGGACATCCGCGGAAACCCTCACAAAACTTTAGAGAAATTCAAGGAAAACCTCCGGAAAGTTCAAAAACTGCACGAAATCCCACGGAAACCCTCACGAAACCCTTGAGGAACCTACCAAAACCATCCAATAGGTTTTAACACATGCACGAAATCTAAGGAAACCCACGGAAACCCCCAGAAACCCCGCGGAAACCCTCGCGAAACTGTAGGGAAACTCAGGGAAACCCTTTATCAGGACTGGATTCACCCTTTGGCAATTTACAAAGTTATTAAAGGACAGGTGCAGGAAACCCGCCACCCAATCACCGCACGCCAATGTCAGTATTATACTACCGGCGGTCCCCTAAAGGGTGAAGGACGCAAGAGGTGTTCTCTGCTTCTGGCGAGGACCTGTGTCAACCGGAGCGCCAAAGCTGGGGCATGCCTGCCATACGAATCAATGGTCGCTAACCGAGAACGTCAAGGTACACATTGGTCTTTCACCAATCGGGTTTAGAAAAAGGAATCTACGTCTGCCTAGCTTCGCCGTCCACGTCACAACTTGCCATAGAACAAGACTGACTTCCTACCTCAGGGTTCATGTCAGACTTAACCCAAATACCTGACTGAAGGCATGACTGGTTTCTTGCACCCAAAGCTTTAACCCCGCGCATGGCTGTTGCTACAACCATACACAGCTAGGCCACCAAGCAGTGCACGGATAAGCTTGAACACCTCCGGCCGCGCACCGGCCGGCCGCGCCTGCGCCCCGCAACAAATGTAAAGCCTCTGCATCGCCAAAAATCGGCCTTGAAGACCTCGGCAACCTCCTCCACTAAGTACTTCGCTGAGCGAGTTGCGAAGGGCTTTGCGACATTTTTTTTTTTTGGACTGACGCCTCTTTACTACATCAGTAGCGCAGTAGGTTGGTCTTGTTGGGCTCGACATAACAGGTAAAACAAAGTCAGCGCGCTCAAACCACCAAACACACCACGCAACCACCCAAGAACCAAAGAAACAGAAGAAACAAAAGCAAGACTAGGTAACTCCACGCACTTAGTACTCGAAGTCGTCGTTGAAGTCCCGGTGCAATCAAACAGCACAACGTGCTGATGACGCTCACCTCTGGCCGTCTGATGAGACTTTGCTTGTGCGCAGACATCTATCCAGGGCGCAGCTGCAAGCCAGGGTGAGCGGAGGATCTTTCGCTCGGGGCTGCTCCACTGGCTGACCACCATGGAGTGCCCTGGGCCGGTCTTGCCTTGATAGTTCTTGCTGTTAAGTTCCCACTGGCTGACCACCATGGGGCATACGCACGTCTTTCCTCTCCTTTGGGAAGTCTGACCTGTAACATCCCTTTGCCACTGCGGGTCTGTTATCGCACGAATAACGCGCGGTTTTGCTGGTGGCGGCGCTTGCCTGCACAGGTGAGCGCCCGCAGCTCCTGCCTTTGCGAGACGCTTGCCTGCGCAGGTGAGCGTTTGCCGGGGCCTGCACTGGCCTTGCCTTCAACCCTAAACCCCAAACCCTAAACCCTAAACCCCAAACCCTAAACCCCAAACCCTAAACCCCAAACCCTAAACCCCAAACCCTAAACCCAAAACCCTTAACCCAAACCCTAAACCAGCCCAGAGACCCTTAGAAGCCCTTCACTGCCCTTCACTGCCCGCCCAGAGGTCCTTAGAGGCCCTTAGAGGCCCTTCACTGCCCTTCACTGCCCTCAGCCCAAAGACCCTTAGAGGCCCTTCACCGCCCTTGACTGCCCGCCCTTAGAGCCCTTAGAGGCCCTTCACTGCCCTTCACTGCCCTCAGCCCAAAGACCCTTAGAGGCCCTTAGAGGCCCTTGTAGGCCCTTCACTGCCCTTCACTGCTCTCAGCCCAGAGAGCCTTAGAGGCCCTGCAGACCCTTAAAAGCCCTTAGACACCCTTCACTGCCCTTCCCTGCCCTTAGAGGCCCTTCACTGCCCTTCCCTGCCCTTCACTGCCCCCAGCCCAGAGACCCTTAGAGGCCCTTCACTGCCCCTCACTGCCCTCACCAGAGATCCTTAGAGGCCCTTCACTGCCCTTCACTGGCCCCTAAAAGTTCTTAAGCGGCCCTTCACTGCTCTTCCCTGCCCTTCACTGCCCTCAGCCCAGAACGCAGCCCAGAGACCCTTAAAGGCCCTTCACTGCCCTTCACTGCCCTCAGCCTAGAGACCCTTAAAAGCCCTTAAAGGCCCTTCACTCTTCCCTGCCCTCAGCCCAAAGACCCTTAGAGGCCCTTCATAAAGGGTCTCAGAGGCCCTTCACTGCCCTTCACTGCCCTTCACTGCCTGCCCTCAGAGACCCTTAGAGGCCCTTAGAGGCCCTTCACTGGCAACCCTAAACCAAAACCCTAAACCCTCAACCCGAAGGCTTCAGGCACTCACGTCTTGGCATTCCGCAGCTTTTGCTTGCACCGAAATAAAAACATCTGACTTCTGATTGCATCAAAATAAAGACATCTGACTATCGCAATAACACAGCGTCCCAAATCATCCCGCAGCCGTAAACAAGGGTATCAAATTTCCGCACTTTTTCCTATCCGTCAAAGCACATGTCCAAAAGCCACAAACACAGAAAACAATCGGCTCCTCAAACCATGAACGTGTTGCAGGATCAAGGCGAAGGAGTACGCATTTTTTTGCGAAACTCCTCGGTTCGCCTGTCCCGCCGTGGACGCCTGGCTTTGAGAGTCTTGGGGCCCCTTGCAATGGGGTGCAGATTCAAGCTGCCTAACACGGATTTGTAAAAGAAAGCCTGCTCGCTGCAGCTACTGTGCACAAGATGTGGATGTTCATCCACGACACGGCCCGTGCTAAGCACATACATCACAGTGTACTTGTAGAACAATTTTTTATGCATGGAAAAGGACCACTGCCTTGGGTTTCCCAAAGCAGTGCGAAAAGCAGCTTCACCATCTTCATACAAAGAACAAAGTGCCAAGTCCAACCGCTGCACCATGTCCCTTTTCTTGTTCTTGGCATACTCCAATTTGTACTTTGGCATAACGATGACTGAAGTAATGTCCACCGTCCGACAGTCTACCATGATGCGGCCCGCAGTCTCGTACTTGAGAAAGGTGTTTGCGTCACCTTGCGGCATACACTACTGCACTGTTTTGACCAAGCACCAACACTGCTTTTAGGAACACAACACATGCCGCATGCCTTCCTTATCTCGCCACTGCTGCATCAAGTCCAACGTGAGCCGGTGGGATTGGGTTCCTTCATCATCTTGCTCGGACTTTAACCTTTTCGCACTGTACGCAAGTGACTCAGGAGGCTCCTCGATCTGAAAGCATGCTTTGGCACACTGTCCTCCGCGCACCAGAGTCTGCAGGGTCACGGCTTTATCGCTTGTGCCAAAATTGGTTTGAACCCAAAAGCACCGTCCGAAATCAGAGGACAACACGCAAAGCCTAAAGCTTTCGCCAGTCCCAAGCATTCCTTCTTTTCCATCGGTGGGCGAATCAAGGATCATTAGGGAAAGCACGATGCACATTGTGTCAGTGCATATGCCTAACAAAAGCATGCGCATCACCAACTACAAAAACCTCAAAGCCCCCTTTCAGGGCGAGGGTATCTACACGCATCACGTCCTAAACTACGGCAAGGAGCCAGACACTACAGGAAGTGGCCAGAACGGCAGCAGGGAGCTGCTGTTGCGCGACGGGCTCTGCCAAGAGCCTGAACTGGGCAGGGCGGGTGGGATCCAGTGACGAAACGCCAAGCCGACCGAGACGGAGGCGCGTCTTATGAGCAACGGCGAACTGGCCGGTGCACGCAGGGAGTTGCAGCCGCGGGGAGCGGGCCCTGCGGGTGCATGCCCAGGGCGGGCTGGGTGGGACAAATTTTTGCACGGCGCGATGGAGCCCGTGCTGCACGTCAAGGAATACACAACAAGCTGCAGACATCAGTTGCACCTTTGCATTCACAAAGCATGGCATGTTGCACACCAAGGCACATCACAACAAGCTGCAGACAGCCACTGCACCATGTAATTTGCTGAACATGAAAACATGCAGAGCATGCAACCGGTAATCGTTGAGCATGGGAAAACAAAGCATCAAAATAACTTTGGCTTCAAACAGCGAGCAAACGGCATACCGTTTCTCACAGGGCATTTTTGGAAGCAAGCGATAAAACACGATTCGCTCGCGAACAGTAAGCTTATCGCTTGTGCCAAAATTGGTTTGAACCCAAAAGCACCGTCCGAAATCAGAGGACAACACGCAAAGCCTAAAGCTTTCGCCAGTCCCAAGCACTCCTTCTTTTCCATCGGTGGGCGAATCAAGGATCATTAGGGAAAGCACGATGCACATTGTGTCAGTGCATATGCCTAACAAAAGCATGCGCATCACCAACTACAAAAACCTCAAAGCCCCCTATTATCCGAACCATTGTGGCGGACGCCGTCAAGTGCAAGACAGCTTAGAGCACAGTCCCTAGACTTCCCCTGCCCCCAGTGGTGAGTCACCAGCCTTGAGGCAGTCCACACTGTTCCACCCGAACAGCACTTGCCACAAATTGAACGGGTGCACTAGGCTGGAGGGGCAGCCTCGCGAACACCGGGGGGAAAACTCCCAACGGGTCTTGCCGTAAGGATTGCGCAAACGTGATGAACACGGACTTCCCCACGCAAGGCCACAGCGGGTAACTGCACGTCTACTTGGTGTTGAGCTGCGGGGAGGGGCACTGTGGTGTCCCCCCTCCCCCACCCCCCCCCCCCCCTTCATGGTGACCGGCAGTGCGTCCGGGCATCACTTCATTTACTGGGAAGGCCCCAACGCATTGGCGCAGAGGAGGGGGGGGGCCGGTTGCAAAAGAGTTCAAGTCATGACCATGGCTTTCCCACCACGAAACTAGTAGACACACGTCCAGGGTACCCGCAGTGATCATCTTTGATCCCCGAGACCCACTCTCCAGGGCAGCCCAGTACTGTTGTGACAGCATGTAACCAAGCACACAGACGCTGCCCTACCCGCCCTTCATGAGGCGTGCGGACCACAAAGCACCTCCTTTTATGCGAGAGCAATATTCAAATTTGAAATTGGGGCCAGGGTCAACCTGTCATAAATGAGGGCATGACCATGAGCCCCAGACACCACCGTGTGCTCCAGAGGCACTTGGGCCGCTAGCCACTTATTCCGCAACACACAGGTTATTACAGCCGACATGCTCGGGCCACAGGATCCAGGGGGCCCTTGCGCCGGTCCAAGGGCCGAGCCTCAAAGGTGCACTGGCAAGTGGAAAAACAGTCAATCCACCCCGGTAAAACGTGGGTTAACCAACTGATCGACATTGGTCCATGAGCCGCTTGGATCACACATTAGGACTCCAGCACGGAGGTCCTCGCCCTCGACGCAAAGGGGGGGGAACGAGCCAACTGTACCATTCAGCACAATTTCACACGCCTCAGGGAGACGACCCAACTAAGGGGCCGGGCACTTAGTTGGCACATTCATGGGCTGAGCGGTCGAACCCCTCCCCCCCCCCCCCTAAGGGCTCGCGGGGACAGGTCACACCGGATTCATGGCGGAGCCCTTAAAAGGAACCCTACGTAACCATTACAAGCGTTGTGAAGGCAACTACTCTGGGACAGAGCACAACCTACTCAAGCTTACTCCGGACAATGGCACCCCCGGACTCATGGCACGGCGATCACGACCCTATCGCATCACACAGGGCGCGAACACGACCCACACCAGTTCACTCCACACATTGGCATACCATGACTCATGGCACAGTGATCTCGACCCTGATGCACCTCACAGGGCACAGCGCACTTCAACGTCCTCAGGGTCGCACACTTGAAACCCGAGTCCCCGAGCATCCATTGGAAAGGGAGCAAGGGGGGGAGGGGCGACCGAGCTGAGTGTAAGCCAGGCATTTGGTCTATTAGTCTCGGCAACACCAACCTCATATTAAAGATTCATGGGAGCACGTCAGGCGTCAGACCGACTAGTCCCGGCGGACAACCCAAAACAATGCTCAGGACAAGCAAGCCATGTGTTAGGTCAGGAGACCCGGCGAGCACTAACCAGGCACCGCAGGATTAGATGTGCGGGCGCCCAGAACGGCTAGGAGGCCTGGCGCACAACCCAAAACATGCTCAGGACGATCAAGCCAATGTGCCAGACCGGAAGGCCCAGCGAACACTAACCAGGCACCACAGGGTCACCACAGGAGATGCGCGGGCGCCCAGATCGGCAACCAGGCACCGCAGGTTTAGATGTGCGGGCGCCCAGATCGGCAAGGAGACCCGGCGAACACTAACCCGACAAGCACCGGCAAAGAACACAACCAGACAATCACCGGTTTAAGACCCCAGGCGCCCCAACCAGGCTCGCATAAAGATGAACAGAAACCTCCCAAGCAACAGACACCTCCCCACTTAACCGCACTGAGCACTGGCTGGCAGCAGCGCAGGGCCGGCCGGCTAACATTGACAGCATAGGAAGGCTAGATATTTAGGGCGGTGGGCCCGCAGAGAGTGCACTTGAAGTGGGCGGGCGCGTGCAGCGCCCCGCCCCGTGTGTGGCAGGATGCCTGCACGAACACAAAGGCTCGCAAGACCACGTCCAAGCGGTTGCCAGAGCAACCAAGATTGCGGGCAAGGAGGGGCTGTAACCCCTCCCGATCGCGGACACACACTGCATGAACGCAGAGGCTGCCTTACAGGAGGCAGATGCAGGCGCGAGAACATTGTGGAAACCGCCGAAAACGCAGAACCACCCGATCCACGGGCCGCCCCGGACCTAAAACCATAAACTACGGCGGGAGGAATTCTCTGGGCACTTGTAGCGTGCACAGCACAAGCCGTTGCAGGCCAGGCATGACCAACATGGAACCCTCGGCCAAAACGAGGAAATACTACGTAGCTTGGCCAACGAAGGCGCACTTGGGCTCGGGCCTTGCACAGAGACTTTTCGTTGATTCGAGTCCACAATCACGGCATTCTTGTTCAGGCACCTAGGCCACGCACCATCTTCGGCTGGAAAGACCCTGAACTATGTGTTCATGTCACTCGTCATGGCCACTAGGGGCGAACGGACCCGGTGGCATAGAACAGTCGGAACACGCCGGTGAATGGCCTGCCAGCTTGGGCGACGGTCCAGTAGCAGAAAACGCAGCAAGCAGAAAAAGCGCAACCGCGCGAAGCCCAACCAGGTGCAGCACCCAAGAGGAAACACAGCAGGGCTGGTTGCAACATGGCTGGATCACCAGGGAGGACCCAACATACATTGGTGAGGTTGGCCTCTCGGCCTTAGTATGCACACGCACAGGAACGTGCCCGCCACTGGACGGACAGACCGTCGAACCTAAACCTGAACGCGCGAGGTGGCGCTCAGTAAGGTGGGCCTAGGACAAGCTTATGGCGACATGGCCTCGTATGATGACAAAGCCCCAATAGGGGATGAAGACACGATACCCACAGTGCAAAGCGGTAGTCCAGCGGGACAGTTTAGCAAGGGACGGGGGAAGACCGCCACATGTGGAGCCCCTGACTGATCATTACGTCCAGTGTCATATGCAGGTGAACACCTGTCCAGGGACGCATCCAGGAGACCAAATGATGATGTGCCTCAAGCACAGGTGCCGGGCAAAGTGGCTCAGAGGCCGTGAAGGCGGCCGCCATGCATGAACACCATGTGGCTGTGGCCCGCAATCATTGGCGGCATGCACCTTGTCCTGGCCTTGGGGCGGCAGGCGGTGCTCCTGCAACTTGTGCATGACTTGAATGATATCATGGCGGGCAAGAGCCTGGTCACATGCCTGGACTCAACGGGAGCAGGCCACTTGCGTCGCACGCTTAGTAGGTAATTTGGAAGGCTTGGTTGGAGTTCCAAATATATTGTCCGCGCAAGTGGGTCGATTTTGTGGAGGTCGAGGGCGTCGGTCAAGATGCCGCATGTCACCTCAGGTGCATCATACATGGCATGCACTGCTACTTTTGACCCTCCTGACACTGTCTGCAGACCACATGGCGCTACAAAGCACATACTGACAAGGAGGCAAAAGCCTAACAGTCACACACATACAAGAGCTGAGAGAGAGACATGCTTTCATGAACATGGCTTTGAGCCTGCATCCTTGTACGAGCACCGATGGTGCAACGGACATAACTGGCACCATGGCCATGTTGTATGACAGCCCCTTGGCTCATACAAAGGCACCATGTGCCACTTCATGAGACCCTCATAGCCCCTTGGCTGAGCAGACATTGCTCGTCTCATGACATCAGTAACATGCAAAACATGTGTGAGCGCTCGCTCAATGCTTTTTTCCTCATTGTGAACTGCATCCTCATCGCTAGGCCGTCTTTGCCATGTTTTCCAGGCAAGCACCACAGCGCCCATCGAATATGGGGTGCAGAAAGTGCAAAACATAATTGCACTGAAGCCGGCTCAAGAACAAGGCCCCGTAACGTGATCACGCGTCAAAGCGGAAAGACAACTGCGGGCATTGAAATTATGAGCACGGATAAACGCTTGTAGCCGCTCACTAGCGGGGGCACCCACCAACCTGGTTTGGAGGGCCCAAAAGGAGGCCATTTTGCGTGGCCCCAAGAGACTCGCCTGGGGTACCGGAAGGCAACAATTGGCATGAAGGATGACGAGGTGCAACGCTTCACCCGTCAAGCCTTCGCGCACTTGATGCAGGGAGACCTCATCTTGGAATTTGAAGCCTGGTGGGACCTTGAGGCCCCACTGCTTCTGCCCAAGGTCCCTACACTTGATACCAGCGAGAGTCGCCCGGAACACAACCCGACAACATTGGAGTGCCAAAGCGGTGCATGCCGTGGGAGGCAGAGCTGGGCCATCCAACAAAGCAGTCAAAGGCACCACTCGTTCCGAGATGACATAATGTGCCTGGCACAAACCGTCTGCTCCGAGGGACACCCAAATGGAGCCGCTGCCGAAGATGCGGGTAAAGGCTGCTGGACACGCAGCAGCACTCCGAACCTCGTTGACATTGTCTGCATCGTTTTCAGCGAGCTTTAAAACCATGCTTGCGGCCGGCCCTTCACCCCGAAGGTGGTACACTTTTCGGAATCCTCCCTTGAGCTCCGGCGCCCTGCTCGACCCCAAGACTGACAGGCTTTCACCATTTACACCCAGGGTCAGATGAAGGTCATTCGGGAACATGTCATTGCCTGTTAGAACCCCTGAAGCACGCAAAAGCTTTATCGAGGGCCATGTTGGTGTACCGCTGGGCATTGCCTCTCGAGCGGTATCCTGAACCTGAGCTGCAGGGATTGCCTCTGGAACAGCACTCTGAACCGGAGCTGGTGCGATGGAGGAGCCACTGCGACTATCGACCAAGCAGTTTCCGCAAATGTCAAAGTCACAGACCCTACACCCCCAGAGCAAGCGTCGCGTGGAGAACACGCGCTGGCACGCACTGCACCACCAACCTGGCTCAGGAGACCCAAAGGAGAACAAGGGATGACCCGAAGAACACGTGGGACGGGTGTCAAGCCTGGCCAGAAAGGCTTCTGCACAATCCTGTGTGATGCCTTCGTCAGACGAAGCGGTGCCGCTGGATCGGCTGACGCCTTCGGGCTCCCGCCTTTTACGCTTAGGGCTGGGAGGACGTGGAGGCAATGGCCGACCACCAGGAGGCAAGGTTGCTGATGCTTCATGCACGCTTTCCAGGCTTGGGGCTTCTGACCGTTCGCTGGAAGGGAAGGTTGTGGCACGCTTAGGGAAACATTCAGCCCTTCGGGGAATGGAGCCAGGGCCAGTAAAGACAGGTCGCGAACTCAAAGGGGACCACACGCTGCTCCTCAGGCGGAGGCACCTTCCTGGGAACATCACGGACAACTGCAGGCCCCAAGAAAACCCGCCTTCGGACCGGTCTGGTCTCATCACCCATTGCGCCGGCGGGCACACATTGAACAAACTTCCCCGACACAGCTGGAGTCTTGGCTGATGAACTTGGTGCGACGGGCTCACGAGCCCTGGATACATGATGTGGGGAGAACACACTATTGGCACCTGCATGGGCTTCAGGCTGAGAATGCACAGTCAGCCGTGTGTACTTGGCAGAGCCACAAGGGGTATGGCTTATGGACTCCGGGATGGCCCCACTGGCATGCGATGCATTATTTGGGGCTCCGGCCTCAAACTCATCGGGGCAAGGGCCGCGAGGGTCGCGGACTGGTCCACTACGGGCATCCTGGTTCACATCGTAGTCCAACTGCGCATCGGGATACGGCGCACACACAGTTTCAGCATCCGAATTACTTGGGGCAGGGCTTACTTCCCTCCGCGGATGTTCCCTTTGCTTGGCGACATGCACAGGTGGAGCAAGCTTGACATCATGTTCGGGTTCAACCCTTTGGGATGCCCTAGTCCTAGCCTTCGCTGTCACCACGCTTGAAGGAGCTTCGGAGGCACTGGGACGGTCGGGCGGTGTGTCTCTCACACCTTCAGCAAGTAATGCCGCATCTCCCAGATCTTCCGCTGGCCCAAGGCATGAAGTCATTGCATGGCTTTGATGGGGCATGCTGGGTGGAGCCTGTTGATGTGCACTCGACGCATTGTGCCTGGATGGCTGCTCAACAGGTCTGGCGAGAGGACTAAAATCATAATCCTCACCCAGGTGGGCCCCGACTCGCTCAGGCGCACGACGTTTTGCCTCGCAAAGGATTCCGGATTCCTCTGATGAAACAGCCTCAACAGCACCGGTTGCGCGTAAAGCATCCCTACGCTGGCCTGAAGGATCGATCACCACGTGCATATTATCACTGAAATTTGTGCCATCAGGTTTCAAAGGCACCAAATCTTCGGCTTCACTCCCATGTAGCGCCGCTCGAGACTGCGCTATAAGGGAGGGGCCTTCTTTGACAGGGGATCCGGTTGCCCTGTCGACCGATGCACAGAGCCCAGGTTCTGGGGCCATGGGTTGGCCATCAGGTTTCTCAAGCACCAAATCAACGGGATCACTCCCATGTAGCGGATCACAAGACTGTGATGACAGAGCAGTGCCCAACTCCGCAGGGACATTAGCAGCCTGGTAGCTAGGCTCACCAAGCTCAGATCCCACAGCTTCCGGAGTTTGGATGGGGGGCTCACCCTCGACCGGAACATCTCCCTTGGCATTGGAATGTCCCCCCCCCCCCCCCGGAGCTTGGATGGGTGGCTCACCCTCAACCGGAACATCTCCCTTGGCACTGGAATGTCCCCCCCCCTTAACCGAAGCAGACCGCCCGGGGCGATCCTTTCTGAAGCGCTTAACAACGCACACAGGGGCGACATCGTGGGGCATCGAGCCCGGAGCGGCTGGTGATCCCATGGCTGCGTTGGAGCCAGAAGATATCATCTATCGGTCGTAGACGGCCAAATACCAGGCAATCACACAATGAGCGCACCAATGGTGGTTGTGGTTGATGCGATAGCGGATGCACCCGTTACGGCCACATTGCTGACAGACCTGCTGACAAGCTGGTACGGGTGGGTCTTGCTCGACGAGCGGCTGTTCCGGAGCACGACGACCGCAGGTGGAGCCCATGGGAGGCTAACAGAGGCTGATGACAAACAGCAGGCAAGCCACACCCAAGCCGAAGCCGGAACAAAAGCAACAGCAGGTGGTCCTGGCAGGACCCACGGGGCTGCAGGGCCCCAAATGCACGGGTGACTCTAGTGCGGCTCGCCCACGGAGGCGAGCTCCCATCCGCTGCCTGCTTCACGCAGGCAACTTGCACTGGGCCTAAGGCCAAGGTTTGAGGAGAGGGCCTGTTGAAGCCGGACCAGTTGGAGCCCCAAACCCGGTTCACACACAAATTTTTGCACGGCGCGATGGAGCCCGTGCTGCACGTCAAGGAATACACAACAAGCTGCAGACATCAGTTGCACCTTTGCATTCACAAAGCATGGCATGTTGCACACCAAGGCACATCACAACAAGCTGCAGACAGCCACTGCACCATGTAATTTGCTGAACATGAAAACATGCAGAGCATGCAACCGGTAATCGTTGAGCATGGGAAAACAAAGCATCAAAATAACTTTGGCTTCAAACAGCGAGCAAACGGCATACCGTTTCTCACAGGGCATTTTTGGAAGCAAGCGATAAAACACGATTCGCTCGCGAACAGTAAGCGTTTCACGCACCAATTGGCTGACATCCTGGTGTCGGAAGCCTTTCTTGAAAAGACCTTTGATCGAACGCCAAGCCCGCTCTTGGGAATTCGACACATAAGTGCCGTAACCCGGGCACACTTGACCGAGACCACTCTGCCAATCTGCGCTCCACCACAAGCCTTTCTTCTGCAAGACCCACTTCTCCAAGTAATCCGCGAATTTCTCCTCAAACAAACCTACAAGCTCCGCTGCGTTACCCCAAGGCAGCTTTCCCAGCAGCAGCCTTCTGGTCTATCAACCCAGCGCTATCAAGATCGAAAAAAATAGTCTATGAAGCCAGCTCAAGAGATCGAAACCATGTCAAACACACACAGACACACACACACACACACACACACACAGCGCGCTGTCCTGATTCCAGTCTTCGGGGTCACGCAGCCTTCGCAACGTGTCTTCCCAGATGACATGGAACTGTAATGGATGTGCGATTTTCGCGCTGAACTGGATGATTTCCGTTATCTCCAGTGTCAACTCTGAGTCAACTTTTTTTTTGTCCCTGTGCGCTTGACGTCTTTCTTTATGTGTTCTAAGTCCCGGTGCAAAGTAGCGTCTGGAAAGCATGCACTTGTCGCATTGATGGCACCGCCTGCACCATCCATGACCACATTCGTCACCAGTTTCTTCCAATCCAAACCCGAAGCTTCCAATAGCTTCTGGAAAGATCGACATAAGAGTGCATAACACGGTTCATCTTCCTTGTCACACACAGCACAAACTACCGGCCAGAATCGATTGCGCACCACTCCGCCAACCTGGTGCAAGACGACCAGTCCGAGGCTAGCTAACACAAGATCCTGCACATTGGTCTTGAATGTGGCATCCATGACGAGCACACACCGATCCTGTGTGCCAAGGTAGGCAATCACGGCATCCAAGTTCTCTTGCTCGTAAAACAAGACCCGAACCGTTTCTTCTGAAACCAGAGGTGTCTCTTCCGTGTGAAGCACAGCGACTGGAAAGGGTGGGTTCTGGCAAAAAGCTCGAAATGTGGAAACAAACTTGCCGTCATAGGATTTGGCCTCTTCCAAATGTCGGTGTCTGACACCATCTAAAGCTCGATCACTTGGAATGTGCTCCGCGGGAATTCCCAGCTCTGTCATAGCCTTCTTCGCCTGTTTTGCTGGAAGGTGGCGTCCAAACTGGTGCTTATTCAAATGCTGCTCGACCTCTGCAATGACCTTCCCGTCGTGCTTGCGACCCTCCCGAACGGATCTTTCAACACGCAAGTAAAAGACTTCCTCATCCAAATCAAGCAAGTCTGGTGGAAGTGCGGAACCTTAGCACTCTCCGACATCGCTTCCCAAGAATTTTGAGACCGACTTCCCAAACAACAACAAAGTTTTTTTTGTTGCCAAACTGCCTTCTTCCTTGTTGCTCACCAAGCAAAACCGGAACTTCATGGAGCATGCTTCGTGCCTGTGACAGTAACCAATCTGCGTCGTCTTCTTCTTCAATTGAGAAGATACGAAGCGAAGTTTGGCTTCCTTTTCCTTTTCGCTCCACCTCTTACAGCATTCCAACAATCCTTCGCGTGGTTGTACTGGCAGCAACGAATCGAAGTACCACACTTGCTCTTGTTTTGGAGGCATGCCGGATTGACTCACTGCTTTCCGTCTATCTCAAGTCCAAGAGCAAGAAAATCCCGCAAATACAAGCCAAATGCAAGCCAAAAAACTCACCAAAAGCCAAACACAAACGCAAATGCAATAGAAGCTCAGTCCCCCCAAAACCCCGCTGCTTCTCTGTGCGAAAATTTTCATAGAAGCACAGTCACCCCAAAACCCCGCCTGCTTCTCTGTGCGAAACTTCTCATGGAAGCACAGTCACCCCAAAATCCCGCTGCATCTCTGTGCGAAAATTCTCATAGAAGCACAGTTCCCCCATAATCCCGCTGGCGTCTCTGTGCGAAAATTTCTCATAGAAGCACAGTTCCCCCAAAACCCCGCCTGCTTCTCTGTGCGAAACTTCTCATGGAAGCACAGTCACCCCAAAATCCCGCTGCTTCTCTGCGCGAAAAATCTCATAGAAGCACAGTTCCCCCAAAATCCCGCTTGCTTCTCTGCGCGAAAACTTCTCATAGAAACACAGTCCCCCCAAAACCCCGCTGCTTTTCTGTGCGAAACACCTCATAGAAGCACAGTCCCCCCAATCCCACTTGCTTCTCTGCGAAACTTCTCATGGAGCACAGTCCCCCGAAACCCCGCTGCTTCTCTGTGCTAAAATTCTCAGAAAAGCACAGTTCCCCAAAGTCTGTGCGAAATTTCCCATAGAGTTCCCCAAAACCCCCGTTTGTGCGAAAAATCTCATAGAAGCACGTCTCCCCAACTCCGATGCTTCTCTGTGCGAAAATTCTCATAAAAGCACAATTCCCCAAAAATCCATCCCGTTTCTGTGCGAAACTTCTTATAGAAGCACAATCCCCCAAAAACCGCTGCTTTTCTGTGCGAAAATTCTCGTAGAAGCACAGTTCAAAACGCTTTGCTGTGTGAGTAATCCAAAATCCCAAATCTAACTCCAAATCTCCAATCCAAACTTTATTGAAATTGAAGCTTCCAATTTTGTTCTTTAAAACTTTTCAAAAATCTGATCCAAAACTCTCTGACCCAAAACTCTGACCCTGAAACTCTGACCCAAAACTCTGACTCCAAAACTCTAACCCAAAACTCTGACCCAAAACTCTGCTCCAAAACACTCCACCCCGAAACTCTAACCCGAAAACTCTGACCCCAAAACTCTAACTCCAAAACTCTAACCCAAAACTCTGCTCCAAAACTCAAGCCTCTGACCATGAAACGTTGAAACTCGTGGCACAGCTACGGGGCCTAAGGGACCTCAGGTCAAGACTACACTCAACCCTCACAGCACGAAGTGCGGACTCTTTTCACTGCGCTGTTCACAGCTTCTCGAGCTCCGCTCGTCTTGAGCCAATGCGAGCACGGCTCTCCAGCTTCAAACACTGTCTGCCAGACATGGGAAAACAAAGGTACTTCAGGTAAAAACACTCAGCCATGGAACTTCTACTCCTAAACACTGTGGGTAGGTTCCTAGCACCTCTTAGGTGCTCTGCTGAGCTCTGTGCAGACCTAAACTGGCTTGAGTCACTTCTGGTCACCAAATACCAGGTCACAAACAGGAAACGAGTTCCGACAAACGAGTTTCGAGAAAACGAACAGAAAACGGTTCTTCCCACTCAAAACAAGGTCTCACCAAGCCAAAAGAAATCTGCACTGCCTGACATGTCCTCGTGCCTATGCTTCACACTCATAGCAGACAACTCAAGTGCACATCACGTGTCAACTGGGAAACTAGGAGGGTCACATATATCACTCGAAAGCGGGCTGAGTCGCTAGCCAGGTTAGGCTCTTCGGAACCGGAGTTCCGGTAGGTATTAACTATGCACGGAAAAGGGACTCTCGAGGTGTCCTTGGCCTGCTTGACACGGCCGTACTATGTGCAGGGAGCACCGAGAGAAGAAAAAGGGCCTAACCAGTTCCGCGAGAAGCTCGGCGGCCTACGGCTACTCACTGGTTTGGCACTGTACAAAGCCCTAGGCAAAATGTTCTGCAGGTTGAACTGCCTGGTCTGTACTGCCTACCCTATCAGCCCTGCCAGTACAGGGGAGAAACTCACCCACTTCCGGCTCACTCAGAAAAGGCAGAAGGTCTGGAACCGATACATGGGCAATGCCTGTACTAAACTGAACGCAAGTGGCTTGGCAAAGTCGCCAACCTCCGGCACAGGCCTAGGCTTTCTCGCCCTTACTAACCTAGGCCCCAGGAACTCATGCCGCAGCAGCACTGAGCTCCTGTTAGCCCCGTTTGCTGACCTGGCTTTCTCGCACTTACTCACCAGGGAGGGGAACCAGCTTTCTCGCTCTTACTAACTGGTTCAACCTCAGCGGCTCCAAGGAGCCCATACCACTTGCACGCAGGGAGGGCTTGGTTGATTTGGGCAGCTCAGTTGGGCAGGCTTTCAGGCACCGAGCCACAGCCTTTAACCTCCACAATCTGGTGCCTCTGGCTGTCCGTCAGCCAAGCATTGGTCCCTAACAACAACGCCTGCCGCTAGGCTTCCTCCAAGATGGGCTTGTACCACCCGGAGAGAAACAACAGCACCCTGCAGGAATCTCAAAGGAGATCCTCGACAGGCCAAACACGGGTAACCCCAAACTGGTGCAGGGAAAAGCCCTAAACCTCATACGGTCGGCGTACTTAGGATCCTCGTCCGTTCCTGCCACACCTCAGCGCCCTCCCTCCCCTCATCAACCAGTGAGGATCTTCAGGGTGCGGTTCTAACGTTATCCTTTCGTGCGCTGTGTTTGCGAGAACCCCGTGTTGGGCCTGTGGAAGACCCACAAGCACCTGAGCCCGAAAACCCGGTCCAGCGGTCTGCTGCACAGACCGAGCAAAGGGGCCGAACCGGTGTCAGGCTGAACAAAAGCCGCATCGAGGCGGCCTGTCCTGCAGGGTGTCCATCGGAACAACTGCGAAAATATTCCGACGGATGGATCTGGGTACGTGCCGGGACTGAGCACTTCTGCTTGCATTCTTACAACCTGCATCCTTATGCGATCATTAAATGATCCAATTCTATGCAAGATTCTCCGTGGTGCCCTATGGCACTCTCAGTTTGGGAACGGACTCACAGGGCCGTCGCTGATTGGACGGGGAGAAACTTCACCCGTGACAAAGGGATTCCGGAGGTTGAGCATCTCACCCTTGATTCTGGCAGGGCATAGCTCCTGCAATTTGGGTGGGTTGGGGCCGGATTAGGTCAGACCTCCCAGGGGACGTCTTCCAAGTCTTCAAAGCCACACACCAGCCAATCACTGTTGCCTGCTTCTTCTGCGGAGTCTAGATCCTGAGAACACCCTTCCCCAAGGAAGGTCCAGCCATGTGCGCTGGCTGCAGAAGACAGCGGCGCCAGCAAAGGTTCTACGGGCTCCGTACCTTGGTGACCTAACTGACGCAAGTTAGCAAGGGAAGCGTAGTCCAGAAACACCGGTCTCCTAACTGCTTGGTCGAAACTCGGCCAGCTCCACGTGCACGCTAGGAAGCTTTCTAGACAAAGGGCACAGTAGAGCTCGATGCGTCTTCCATCCTCTCCATGCAAGATCGCTGGTTGCCTTTTCCCAGGACCGGGCAAGAAGTTGAGGTTATGGGTTGGAATGTTACCACAGCCAGTGCAATTAAAGTTCAAAAGGCGAAGCCACTGCACGGGCGGGTCGCCTCCCGTTCCCCCGTGGAGCTCTGCTGGGTCTTCCATGCATCTCCATTGCCCACAGGGTCCGGCTCGGACTGTTTTGCCGGATTTGCTGGTGCGAACAAAATACACGCTGCTGTCCTCGGAGAGGAGCAGCCACTCTTTCCGGCCCTTGTGATGCCAGCGAAAGCAGAGTGCTTGGTGGAAAGTCCTGCATTGGCTGGGACCACAATTGGCTCTATGGGCCCAAGTTCGCTCTGGATTTGCCAGGCTGCTCGAGCATCTTACCTGGTCTTCCAAGGCTGGAGAACCTCCACAGCCGGCTGTAAGAGGACTCGCATAAGGGAAGAGTTCCCCAAGCCGGGCTGCTTCGCCCTCCAGTCGGGCCGTGCCTTCTTTCTGGCTCTCTGCAGAGCAAGTTGGGTGAGATGACTCCAACCCATCACTTGCTGGCAGTGAGGATCTCGACTGCACAGGTGCTCTGGACATGGCTCAAATGAAGGCTGTGAAAAAGCAGGCCTGGTACCCAAAACAGTTAGGGGACTCGAGGCTGGTTCACACAGCTACCGCTCTGCTACCTGTGCACCCCACCGGGGTTGAGCCGAGATCTTGAGCCAGGTCACATATATCAACTCCCCCTCATGACCAAGAGTTTCACTGTTGGTCACGTCAACTAAGCTCCACGCAAAGCCAACTAAGCTTCTCGCCGGGCCATGGATTCCGGCGCATTCCTCAGACCTAGACTGCTGCACTGCTTCAGACCGCTGGAGGTCGACTGACTCTCGCAAAGTAACCTGGCTGGGCGGGTGGGCGGGTCAGCCAGGGCGGGCGGGTGGGCTCAAATTACCGCAGTCGCAAGCTTTCCAGGGCGGCGTCCGCGAAAGCTGGCGGATAATGCTGCGTTTCTTTGAGATCAAAGTTTCGTGAATGATCTCCCTTGCAGGTACATGCAAACGTTTCGGACATTGTTCGCACAAACTGTTCATCGTTCGACATCAGTTTCCAAATCTTTCGGATAGGTAATCCATCTCTGCCTACCAAGCCTGAAACACAGCCGTGCACTTCGCCAGTGTAATGGGTTCGTTGCTTTGCAAACGAGCGGGCGCTTGCCCATCCCCAGTAGGCACACCGCTGCGGCCATTCTATGACCCATACCCCTACTTGCGGGTGGTTCACCATCACTAAGAAGCTCCGCCAGAGCTTGCGATGCACCGTGAATAAAGCTTGTAGATGGTCCTGATAGCCCGGCCGATCTTCGTGTCGCCGTTGGTACGGGCTACCTCCGGTACAAGGAGTGCTGCTCCAGAAAACAACCTTCATCCCCCATTCTCTCGCAACATTCATTGCAGACATGACCCGCTCCACGGTGTCATTTGAGGTTCCGTCAACCCCTTGAGTAATCGGCAGGACAAATACTTGGTGCACACTTCCTTGCAGGTACAGATTCGAACGTGAACTCGTGCAAAACTCGATCAGCAAAGTTGAATATTCAGTCTCGAGTTCGCATAGCCGACAGAAAGCTTCATATTCGAGGTTGTCCGGCCCGAGTATCGAATCTAGCACTCCAGACAGCAACAAGCAAGACCTGACTGCCGGGACCTCTCGGAAATCGATGCTGGTCACATCTTCTAGTCCGAGGGTTGCTGTATGCTTTGCTGTTTGGAGGCGATTTAAATTCTTTGTGAGAAGATCGCTCACATTCTCGGTTCCGGCCACTCCCTCTACTGCCAACTCGCCGCTATGGACACGGTCTTGGATAAAGCACAACCTCAAGTCTATATGCCGCATGCGCCTGAGTAGCCCCTCCATGCTGGCAATTTGCCTAGCTGAGGCAGAGTCAGTGTACACGCGGTGGGGTTTCTGGAGGGTGCCCCAGATATGCGCCGTCAATTGCGCAAGTCCTGCCACCTCTTTCGCTGCCTCGGCGATGGCAAACAACTCTGCCTCTGCTGAGCTGAGTGCCACGACGCTCTGCAGCCGGCTGTACCCCTTTATGCAGTACCACAGACCGTCCACTGCGATGTAGATCACTCCGCCACTGGTGCTCTTCCGGGCTACGCTCATCTCGCTGCCCCAATTGCTGTCGCAATAGGCTACCAGGCTGGCATTCTCCCCCTCATTGGTCTTGCCATCTCCGAGCGGGAAGATTTGATCTAACAGCGGAAACGCTGCTAACCATCGCAGGAACTTGCGAAGTGCATCTTCATGGACTTGCCGTGGCATGCTTTGTCCGCGTGACAACATGGAGTGAAAATACGTTATATCTGAGCGAGTTTGACAGAGCCAGCCTATCTTCCCTAGGCAACTTCGGAACCGTGAGGCGGCTTCACTCGACAGCTCCTTCGAAGGCTCTTCAACACTCTCCTCATCGTACATATTCCTGATGTCGGGTGTCGTCAAGGATGCTTTCACGGTGGATATGTCCCATCCGAAGGATGTAAAGACCGACTTTACATACTCAGGTTTCACCCCAAGCATGATCTGTCGTCCATCCCAACGGATCAAACGGCCGAGGAATTCCATCTGCCCATCTTCGATCAGCCTGCCTGTCACTTTGACTTTCAAGACTGAACTCAGGGCTTCGTGGACGTACTCGAACCCTTTTTCGGTAGAGGACACAATGAGCAAATCATCCACGTACGCTAACATGATGATATACTCCCATCCGGATTCAAGGTTGACCCATCCGCTGAAAAGCGTCGGTTCAAGCGGACTCGCTTGTAAGCCTAGTGCAGATACGATCCTGTTCAGGTGTCGCTGCCAGCTAAGGCTGGCGGAACGCAAACCGTAGAGCGCTTTCTCTAGTATCAAGTACGCGGTTTCGCCGCTCTCGAGCGCGAATGTGCTTGGCAACTCGATAATGGTGGGTTCCACTACCTGCGCAAAGAGAAACGCGGTGGATATGTCGAGGCCGTAAGCCCGCATCTTTCCCTTCGCCGCCCGTGCAAGGACGATCTTGAGGGCTTCCACCGACGCAGTATTAGAACTCAACCCCAAATCGAGTGCGGATGGTCGGCCATGAGCAAAATCCTTAGCGACTATCCTTGCTCGGACTAGTCCTGGGGCCTTCTGAGTGAGGACCCATCGGGACTTGACCGTCCGACAGTTTGGGTTGGCTTTGCGGTACTCATCTATCTCGCTCTTTGATCTTGCATAACCAACTTTCAGACTATCGAGCGCATTCACCTCTTTCTTGATTCCTTGCCATGTCTCTTCAGGGTCCAGCTGAAAACCTTCCAGGTCATCGTAGCTGGCTCTAGGTCGATTCACCCAGAGAGTCCTGTCTTGGATTCTCATGTACGTCCCTGCGGACTCATCTTCCTTTTTCTCTTTAACTGAAGAACATACACAAGGGTGGTCTTGGAGATTCAACAACTCAACTGCTTCACGCTCGACCGACTGTTGTTGTTTGTGGTGCTGTTGTTGTGTTGTTGTGTTCAAGCAAACATATGGGAACTTCTCCACGCTCGACCGACCAACCAGTAGGTGACATGCTGCTTCGACGTCGTAGTGGTCACAACAAGAGAGTGGTTGTGGTGTGTAGTGGGCGTTCTCGAGCAATTCCTCCAGGTATCGGACTGGGACCCCCTCATGGAACGTCTGGGGATGCTCTAGAGCGTCTCCCATATCCTCATCCTCAGCCTCGGACGGCTGGTATTCGGATACATTCCAGTCAGCATCCGGCGCTGATATCTCCTGCTTGCTCAGGATCAAACGCTCGGACCTCCTCTCCTCCAAAGCGTATTCGCTTGTTTAATTAGCTCTTCAGGTCTTCGGTCGACCCTTGGTCCTTCATCTAATGCCTCCAGAGCATCATCGATGGAATCACGCAACCATTTCTGGTATCTCTTCACACACTTTTGGGAATGCCTGCTCGAGCTGACGCCTTCTTGGCATCCTGGGCACTTGGGGGTAACGCCATGTTGTCTCACCCAGTCTATGGGAGGACCTCCACCTGGAACATATGGAAGAAACAGCTCTTTGGTCTTCGGTGCTTCAGGCGGGGGCAGGAAGCCATCTAGGGCCTTTGCACCGGGCAGAAGATTTGCGTCGAAACGCAACGGGTAGAGCAATTTGAGTCCGGGCGCGATCACCCGTTTCGTCTCCCCACTATCCAAGCGGATTTCCATGGCATGACCTGTGCTCCCAAGCACTGGTCCCAAGTAGATCCCTCGAGCATACTTGGCATCCGCGTCAGGTCTTCTAGCCCGCGTTATCTTAGCGTATGCTACCGCACCGAACGGATACGTGACTTGCAGTCGCACGCGATCTCCGCGGATCTTCTGCATGGGTGTCATGGTCGACCCTACAGAAACTGAAAACCTGTTGTGCGTGTGTGCTGCGTATTGAAACAAAAGGTCGAAAACATCCGCACAGTTCTAGAACTTCGCATGTTTAGCCACCAGCATCCTATACATATGAAGACATCCGTCCCTTGCATCACTTAGAAATGGCATCACTTCTTTTGGCGGTCAGACGCATACCATCAGAAAACCGAACCTATTGAAAAAGCAATAGGTCACCGGAGGTATGCGTACGAACAAACAATCACCCCACATATCAAACAGCACAGCGAACCAACCATCGCATATCTCCCACAGAACTTCTATGTACAAAGCACAAGCCATACTCGACTTCCAGGCAATGTGAGTGGACCAATCACAGACAGGTACACAAGACCTTGCTGGCTGTCCTGTACATCAAGCATGCAAATGGTCCCACCGAGTAGATACAAACCAAAAAGGGTGGGATAGGGCGGGCAATCCAAAATGCGAATGTCTCAAGGACTTCACAGATCATGTCTCAAGTCTGAGCCGCTGGTGGCTAAACCATAGACAGCACGATAAGCATGTTGCAAAATGCTTCGTTCAAAACATTTTTGAGTAACACACAAAAACCGTTCTAGAACTTCGCATGTTTAGCCACCAGCATCCTATACATATGAAGACATCCGTCCCTTGCATCACTTAGAAATGGCATCACTTCTTTTGGCGGTCAGACGCATACCATCAGAAAACCGAACCTATTGAAAAAGCAATAGGTCACCGGAGGTATGCGTACGAACAAACAATCACCCAAACCGAAAGCTGCCAAAAGAAGGTGAGTGCCATTCTCGCCAGTCACATCTACCCAAAGCCAAGAAGTGAGAACGGTACTCACCCGCATGCGTCCCATATGTGCAGAAAAGCTCACTGCAACAGTAAAGCACCGACAGCTGTGTAAAAACAGGGAGCATCCCCATGGGGGAAAGAACCGCGCACCATGGTTAGCCACCCCCGCTCCACAACCGCCGGCACTCGACATGGTGATTTACAGGAGGCATCCTCATGGGGGAAACAAAGTACCGCGCACCATGAGTAGCACAACCTGCCACACCTCTGCACACAAGCGCACAAAAAGTACGATGCTCATTGCGACAATTCGCGCCACTTATTAAGGGGCAGCTCCCAAAGCAAGCGGGCCTCAGGTGGGAAAAGGCGGATGTCATGGTTATATGCCCACAAAACAGGCAAAGCACAGGACACTCTGTAAGCTGGAAGCCATTCCTCAGGTAATGCAGACACGCCATCCCATCGGCTGAGGAAGTCAGCCTTGTCATTGTGACAACCAGAGATGTGGGACGTATCAAGCTCCACATGCGAACGCCACGCATGAATAGCCAATTGCTGCACAAAAGCAGCCAACGGCTGAACGGTTGTGAAGAGCTTTGTGCAAACAGCCTCAGTGCCTGTGTTATCAGACCAGCTGGGTATGCGAACCCGACATCTGCCACCGACACAGGATGTGGCAAATACATGGACAAGAGCTATCTGGGCCAAAGTTTCATAGCAAACAATATCCAGATTTGCAGGGGACTGCATGGAAATACCCCACTGCGAAAAATCGGACACTTCAAAACGCTCAGCGAACCATAAGCGTGGTTGACCGGGAAACTCAACCCAGCCACCAATGCCAACGTTCTGACCGCTAGCGCAAGCATCTGCGGCCAGCTTCACCAAGGGCTCGAATGGTGTCGCGTTCAACGGGCGCAAAATTTGCGGCTGCTCACACCAATCACGCCAGAAACTCAAAAAAGAGATACTCAACGAAGAGAGCTTGCGACGGTCAGTCGTTGGGTCAGCAACACGCGCCCACAACCGCTTGCCAGTGAATTGAACCTGTGTAAGATCGGCCTTGCACTTCACATCCACGTGACGAACACTAAGTAAGCGTGACCCTACACGAATACTCGTGCCAGGTGGTGTACGCGAAAAAATCATGTCTGAATCCAGACAGGTTGGCAGCTGCTGCCATGCAAATGCGCTGAAGGAAAAATTTGTCGCTAAAGGGCGTTCCATATCGTGGTACAGACTACACAACCACGGCCGCAAAGTAGGCGAAATTTGCACAACCCAATGCAAGAGCCCAATGATACGCTCCAAATCCTTGCGACACAACTTTGTTGCCTTCAGGACGAAATTTACCGCCTCCAGCAGTTTCTGCACCTTAGGAGCAGGTAAGCAAAAAGCTTCTGCGCGAAAATGCAATTCCCAGCCAATAAACTGGACCGTGGCCGCCAATTGAAGCTTTCGCCACGAAAGAGGAAAACCGAAGGTTTGGCAAAAACCAATCACTACCGCCGCCGACACCGGCAGCATCTGAGCGTCTTGATACAACAGGGCATCGTCCACATACATCATTAGGATGTGTGCCACCCAAATTAGGCGGTGAGAGCATCTTACGAAAAAAGCAGCAAGACGCTGCCACCAGTGTGCCGAAAATTTGGCTCCAAACGGAGCCACCCTATAGAAAAACAAACGTTTTCCTAATCTAACCCCCAACAACCCCCGTTCACTCTCCCGAACTCTCATAGTTTTATGTGCAGCGGATATGTCCAAAGTGCAAGCAGCCAGCTCTGCAGAAGAACCGCGAATGGGGACGCCACATTGCACATCATGAAGTCCGGGCAAGCAAAACTTCTCAGGAATGTGACACGCTGGATTCAATCCAGATACCGTGGGATCAATGATGAGCCGTGGGTCGCGTCCCAACGCATGCACAATGTTAGCCTTACCAATCGCAAGCTGAGGCCAGCGATCTTGCGCAGTTTGAAGGTCCGGCACCTCCTCCAAAAAACCGGCTTGCACTTCTTTTTCAAGCAACCTTTCCAACAGGGCAGGGTCATCCTCTGCACCCTTCCAATTGCCTGTACACAGCAGGAAATCATGCTCATCCAGTGCAGGGGCGGCAGATGATGCAACAGGAACGAAAACGCCACTCGCTGGTATATCGTGCCGAACACCGGTAGGCACCCCTGCAAGCAAGGCAGGCCACAAGGCCTCGTCCGGGTCGTGCATGACCTGGGCTAACTTCCGCAACGCGTGGAGTGCATATGGTTGGCCCTCAGGGACATCCCATGCCGGAGCCTCATGTCCTTGGGCTTTGAACCACCCATTCCAAATTTCCCGCAAGTCTGAAACCTCGGCCTCAGTGAAAAGCGGAGAAGTAGACGCCTCTTTGGTTTGTGCGCTCAGGCGGTTCGGAATTTTATTTTCCAGCATGAAGCGCTGAAGTTGCGGGCGCAACCCCGAAAACACGTCCTCCACGCCTGGTTGTGGCTCAGCCCAATCTGGAACAGAGTAAATCCCACCCCCATCTTGCGAGGCTCTAGGGAAAGATTTTAGGGGGCGTGTTGGTATGCAAGCAACGGCATCCGGAATGGATAACTGCACACCCTCAGCTGGTGCCGGAAACAAAGGCAGGACCTTCTCCGCATAGACTTCAGCCAGACGGGCCGGATATAAAGCAGTCTGCCGCGAAACATATGTGCCATCCGCATCGCGTTGGCCTAAAACCTTGTGATGAGCGTCTCGCCCATGGGGGCATACACATGCCAGGGCTTGAAGGGGCCGCCATGACGAAGCAAAGATCCAGTGCTTCAGATATGGCATGCCAAACATACAGGCAGCCACAACATTCACATCCGCAGAAACCTCCTGCAAGTAACGACGAACCACGGGCTCCAACCAACTCATGGCATTCCGCGGTTGCTCAAGTGATGTATGCCCCCCGGACTGGTAAACAGCCATGAGCAATTGGACCGTACGCGACAGTAAAGTAAAACTCGTCAGAACCTTTTCCTGCATGACCGGCGTGTTATCGGGCAACCCGTCCAAGAATTCAGGGCTACGCACAGGCGGAGGGCCATCCTTGTCCATCAACTTCAAACGGCTATACTCACCGCACGGTGGGGACCCATGGGCCATGGAACATTTCCCAGAAAAGCAAATTCTTAAAACTTTTTCATAAAAGGCATCTTGTAAAAGGTCATGCGACGCATCCAGCAGCACATCGATTGACAGAACAGGCACCCCATGCTCTTTCAATGCCTGGCTCAAGGGGGAAGCATACCCACTGCAGATGTCCAGAAAAAACCGAGGTGCAGCAGGTGTTGGAACGTGCACCGACTCAGACACGCGTGGGATCTCCACAGTTTGATGCGGAAAATTTAACCCTGCAAGAGCTGCCGGCGAAACCTCCGGCAACGTATAGGCTGTCAAAGCCCAGCGTTCACCCTGCCACGGCATGGTTGCATGCCATAAAGCACCATTGAATGCAAAGGGTGTCTCCTTGGTGCAAACCAACCGACCCGACAACTCTACACCCAATTCCCGAATGAAACAAGGCACATCCCCTGTCGGCTCTTCCAGCCACAACTGGCCGTCACGAAAATCTCCTAAGGCGACATTATAATTTAATGATCCAGGTAAGTTGGCAAGATCCCGGCGCGGCAAAGTTTGGACACACAAGGAGACACATACTGCGTTCCACGTGCCTGTAGGCCACCATTGCTTCAAGAAACCGTTAAGCGCCCTAACAACTTCAGGAAAATTACGCGTGACCGAAGTCACTGCACTCCGGTCTCGCACTTGCACGCCAAAATTCCAGTAGCCGGTTTGCTTGGAAGAAGCATCCGCCAGACATGGGCGAGTTGAGCGGCTGCCCCACTCCACCAAACCACTGGAGCGCAACAAGGCCAAGCATTCTGCAAAAGACGATGAACCCGGGCGGGGCTCCATCATGGTCACATCCACAGCACTTGCCTCCGCAGCAACACCAACTACAGGCCGCGGCGGGCCTTCACAGGGCGCCTCAACAGATTGACTGACAGACACCTTCTCAGGCACGCCACCTTGAGCCTGCAAAACAGTAGCGCTGCTGGATACCACACGCACAGTCTCACCCTGCCCTTGGCTACCTGCAAAGACAGCCAATGCATCGGACTGAAGCTGTTTCGCCTCTACTCCCTCAGACGGAACCTGCAAAACGGAGGTTGGAGCACGCCCTAACGAAAACACCTCACCACTTAAAGTAAGGTCCTTCACAGTTGATGGCTCGGCCTCAAGGTCGCCCACCGACGTTCCCAACCCCTCTTTCCATCAATGAGGAGTCGCCTTGTGATCCTTCGCCGAGTGTTCACCGAGGCACGGCTTGCCCGGCACAGCCATTACACCACACAAATGCTCAAACTTGCAATCTCGGCCCCGCTTGCAACGACCCCACTGATATTCCCGGCACAGGTTCTTACGTTCACCCCCTTTGCCAGAGTACCACTGAGCGAGGCGCAGACTGAGCCCCCCGACGTTGACTTGATTGCGTTGACGATCTTCCGGCCCTTTCTTGCCTTTGCCGGCCCCCTTGAACGGACCACGCTCCCGCCCCTTGCCCCCACGAAGAACCTCATTGAAGAATTTCGGAAGAGCAGGCCGTGGCTGCAACAACTGTTGAACCTCTGAACGCACAACCACTACCTCATGAATGGCATTGTCCAAAGTCCACTGCTCGTGGTTATACAGGTGTGCAATGCCCTGCCAAAGTTTCTGATCTGCCTGCAACGCTTCCTGAGCAGACGGGGCCCGAAGGCCCGACTCGGACGGGAAACGCTCAAAGGCTTTAGACAAAAAACGTCTGTTATACTCCCTTAAAGTGTGCAGATGCGCAGCACCGCACATGGCCAGCGCCACTGCTTGGAGTTCTAAAAAGGATTGCATGGTGTGGCGGCCCATGCCTTGCGCACTGACATCCCTGCTCGGCACCTCGTCAAACACGATCTTCTCCAGCTCCAATCTGGCCATTTTCGCTGGCCTCTGCAGCAGTTGTTGCTCAAGCATGTCTTCCGACATACGGTATTTCCAGTGTATCCATTTCCAATGCTTGTCCTGAATTTGTTTGGCCGTGAGGGCCAGTAGGCGTTGTGAGGGCATCGTTTCGGGACAGATGATCTCTGAGGGATACCTGCTTTCGAAGCGTTGCACAAGGGATTTGACCAACTCAGGGCTTAGTTTCTTAGGGAAAGCCTCGACCCAACTAGCATCCGAAACGGGTGAAATGCCTGGTGCACTGCTGGCGGCCTTGGGCTTCGGGCCCTGCGACAACGCTTGGCATCTTTGCCACAGCAAACGCACACGTGCTGTAAGTAAAGGCTCGGAAATATCCCCGGGAAACGTCAGGCCTTGCAGAAAGGCATCTAAACCTTGCAAATCCACGGACACCAACGCGAACTCCTGTGGCGTGAAAGGCAGGAAATCTGGATGCATGGAGACCGGGATATTCACTTCCGCAAGCAACTGCGCCATCGTAGTCGTCCCCGTCGAAACCGGGGCCTCCGAGGACGGGCACAGCGGTGGAAAAGCTTCCCCCCCCCCAAGTAGGAGGGTATCAGCTGAAAGTCGGCATCTTCCCCATCAGACAACCCAGCCATGGCAGAGACTACAAGTATGCAAGACTTATAAACATGCAAACCTGCAACCCATCAATACTCTAAGCAAGTACCGCGTTAGCACTGTAGATACGAATGGACATGTGAGAGTCACCTAAAATTTAGGTGACCCAGAACAAACAAGGATACGAGTAAGACCTGGTACAAAGAATTGTGGTTTTGTGGTTCATGACAGGCGCTTAGGGGAGCAATCGCAGCAACCTATCCTCGAACTCCGTAAGGAAAAGAAAGCAAGAACTGCATGAATGAAGGAAAAACCTTTCTAAGCACATGCGTTCGCTACAAGCAACTCATGGCATGCCACACGCATACACCAGCTCGCTCCACAAAGTGGCCAAACATGGCCCAACACTTGCGCGCTTGCACAAAGAGCACTCGTTTTTTCGGACACCCGGCAAGGAGTCCCATGCGACCTGCGATACTTCACAATTGGAAGCAGACCTGCAACAAAGCTTGGCGGGGGTTTGTCCCCAGTTGGTGGACCTGCAAGCCGTCCCCTTCCCCAACTCGTAGGCGAGTATCACAGGGGGGGTATGAGGCAAACACACGCGCATGGACCTGCAGTCTGCATAAATCGACCGACACAAGGCCTCTACACCGAACGACATGAAGCACAGCTCCTGCGACATGCTGTCCGCATGCAAAACCGTGCCCCTGGTTGGGGCTCCGTCACCAAAATGGGCTCAGCTAGCCACGCACCACATGCCAACTTCAGAGGTACGCCCTGCCACTGTGCAATGGAATCCGCAGACGCACGGACTGCGGTATGCAAAACTCCAGATGGACCTTTGAAGAAACAAAACTCCTCCGCTTCTAAGGGATGCGGCGACTCGGTATTGCGGGTGTCTTCAACCTCCACATCCGAATCAGACTCGTAAAAGACCTGCATATCCCCGGAAGAAGGGTGATGCTCTGCGGTAGACCCGGCCCCCGAATCATTGCCCGGAACCCCTGCTGGCTCTGGCAAGTCACACATAGGCAGTTCCTCAGCTTCTGCAGGCGGCACCATAGCAGCCCAGAACCAAGGATGCAAGCTAACAGGCTCCAAGACAACGGCCGGAAAACGCCACCGCTGGTTAGGAAGAGGCTTCTGGGCCCCCCGAGACATTGGCGTCCCTGGAACCCATCCAGAACGGAAAGCAAGTATAAGAGCCTTTTGAACGCGCAGAGCACCATGAGTGTTATCACGCCCATACAATGACAAACTTTGTCCTTGATGATGCCCTTGATCTAACCGATCCTGTTCAGCAAAACCTCCGTGCTCAGCTGCCCAGGCCAACATACTGCACTTGCAGCTGTGTAATGTGTAAGCAACAGCGGACAAACAGGGTCCACCTGACTCGGAGAAAGCGGATGACAGGAAAAACCTGAGGAAACGCAAGGCCTGGTTGAAGGAGAGCGCTATGAACTCCCCATCTCGCCACGCAAAGAAAAGGGAATCAGGTATGACCTCTTCACCAAAACTCGCACGTAGCTCACCCCATACTTCAGCCAACAAAGAAACATAGATCCTTATCCATGACTTTTCAGGCCCAGGCAAAGCCCCAAGTAAACCCCATCCTCCGACGGCGAATGGAGTGCCGGAACGACACGTCTTTGTGCGGTAGCTCATTCCTCGCAGGAACAAACCATCGACGGTCACACTCGCCCAGCGTACATGTGATGCATCGCTAAAGCGAAGGCTAGCCATGAGGCATACAAGAAAGCTCCCAGCAAGGATCCTATGCTCACGAGGCGCTTGCAAATTTCGCAAGAGTTGCTCTAACCACAACAAGAAGAAGGGTGGAACAGGCACAGCTTCACGCCGCTGACGATCCCGGTTAGGGTCAAATACTTGAAATAACGAGGACCATGGATTCCAAGGCAATTGCAAAACCTTTACCAACCACCTCAGTGCCTTGACACTGTTGGATCCGTGCACGCGACAGGCAGGATCAGCCCGCAAACCATACAATGCATCCACAAGTACAACTTCGGTGACATCCCCCAACGAAGACACAGATTCCTGCAAGAAATCAAGGAGCAACAGGACAACTCGCAAATACCGCAGCGCAGTAGTGTCAGAGATGCGTGCCAGCAATGCTCTATGCAAGGCGTCCTTATGAGCCGAATGCTCGGCCGACATTAAGACCGGGCTGAGTGCAGACGCAAGCAGAAGCACCTGGGACCACATCTTATATACAACCTCCCAATTGCGAGCATGCGAATGCTCCTTCGTAGCGAAAGATGCCACATCTGCAGACTCCGGTCTACGACTCTTAGCTGCAGGGCTCACAAAGGCATGGGGCGTAGGATGTGTCCTGTCTGAAACTTCAGCACTCACCAAAGCTTGCTGGCCTGCCAAAGTTGATCCACTGGGGTGTACACTCGATGCATTTTCCTGAATGCCTACAGGCAGGTGCAGGGGAGGCGGAGTGCTACAGTAAATAGGGCGCGGAAAAGGAGCCTCAACAGTATCTCTGGCCCTAGATCCCGACCCGGAACAAAACACTGGACGTGCAAAAGCAAGAGCCGTGCGCTGTACCTTGGAAAGGTTTTTCTGCAATGGTGCATTTACTGGCATGGCTTGCACCGCATGCTTGGGTCCCGTTCTTGGCAAAACACGTCCCTGTACAATGCGTGGGAAAGGAGTCTGAGCTTTGGGATTTGCTTGCATCACTACACTCGAAAGGGGAGCTGTTTGCGACAAAGCAGGCGATGGTGCAGGAGTTAAATCACAAGGCAAACTCGGTGCAGGCTCAGCACTTGCGCTCCGGAAACGCTTGACCACTGTCACCCGCCGTGGCAAAAACTCTTCATGCGAAGATTCAGAATCCAGCCTTGCGCAACTCGCAAGCAGTGACCCATCCATCATTGGGGACTCCGGTGCAGCCTCACCAGGGGCCTCATTGTTGATTGCGAAGTCGTCTGAAGACATCCCGAAAACACGCACTCCAAAACAAAGATAAATTCTGCAGGTATTGATGAAGGCGTGTGATGTAAGATGTAGTTTCCTCAACAAAATCCTCAGTCTCGTCCAATCGAACCCGCAAAAGGTGCACCTGTGAAGCCAAATGCTCCAGTTGCGTCTCCAGCTGCTGACAACGTTGCACCAGTACTGTGAAGCGTTCTTCTTGCAAGATGACCCTGTCTTCCACCGAATCAAGTCGTTGCTCAATGGCACTCACAGTATCGCTAGGAGCAAGGTTACCGGACGATGACTCAGAAGACAGCGGCCTGTCCCCTGCAGGTGCACTCAAAACAGACGAAGTCCGGTCTGATTCTGAGTCTGACATGCACTAGCGCCCCCGGGCACGAGGCGTTCGATGTGTACTGCTGCTCAAAACAAAGCAGCACTCTCAGCACCACAAAAGCCAAAAGACACTGCAGCACTTGTCGCACCACTGAAACGAGGAAATCACCAGCGCAAGGGCCTTGCAGCAATGGCTCACTCAAAAGGGAAAAAGTCCCTAAAAAGTCGTAAGTGTTGTATGTCATTTCCAACAAGCATGACAACTATGACAGCTAATGCCACTTTAATAGTGAAATGCCACTAAATCATGCCAATCCAAAATGCGAATGTCTCAAGGACTTCACAGATCATGTCTCAAGTCTGAGCCGCTGGTGGCTAAACCATAGACAGCACGATAAGCATGTTGCAAAATGCTTCGTTCAAAACATTTTTGAGTAACACACAAAAACCCTCAGCATCCAAAACAACGCCATGTTCCCGCAACTCAAGCTCATGTGTCGCTACGATTCCTTTTAGGGTCCTAATGGCTCGTTCTGCTGCTGGTGCATGCCTTTCGGGTGCAAAGCTGTCCTCAGTACCCTCACAAAGATCAGCGAGTCTCGCTGCGATGTTCTTCGTGAGTCCCTCTGCATCAGACATGAAATGCGGTTGTTTCACACCAAAGTGCCTGACCCAGGGATGCAAATGTTCTGCTGTTGTTGCTGCGCTCTCTCCCTCAGGTCTAAAGCAAACTGCAATTGCAAAGCTCATGGTATGAACCAGTACGATGAATGCAAGCTTGCGAAAGAAGCACTGGTCAAGCTGAAACTCTCTCGGGTTCAGGTCGCTACGCTTTCGTGCTGGAGTGGTCCCTCTAGTCCGCTGGCAAAACTCACAGTCAGACATGTATGGTACGTGTCCCTGCATGTGGTGCTGCAGCTCAGCGTGTTTACTACGCACATTGTCCCCAATAATTCCTTCTTCAGTGACTAACTCAAACTGTTGTTGTGGCTGTCGCGTATCGGGCTCTTTTCTTTCATCTTGGGACAAAGCTGCAAGGATTGGGTTGGGCTTCTCAGTACTCCCTTTCAGGGAGACGGGGAGCGAGAACGATCGCGCTCTTGGCGATCTCGGCGGCGCCTGATGAGTTCCATGAATGCAGGAGAGGGTGCGCCACTCCACGGAATTGGTGTCTCGGGAGTGCGCTCGGGTCGCGGAACCGGAGGTGGCGGAGGGATCGGGAGCGCCAACCTTGGCTTGGCGACCGCCCTCGCAGCCTGTATGTTCTCCGATCTTGCTCGGCGCCGGTCCTCGTATGCTTGGCCCGTGAGGATCCCTGTCTCGAGCTGCATGCGAAGGCTCATTGGGCTGAATGGCCTTTCTGCCGGTGCCACTGTTCCCGATGCTCCTGTTCCCATTGTCTCTGCCACCCTCATCACATTGCCGGACAGGTCGCTGGCGGCTTTCGAAGGTGTCAAGCTGACCGGCAGTTGGGCATGGTCCTTCGCCTGCATCCGCAGGAAGCTCTCCCTCAAAGGTCCGAGGGCTTGTAGCCCTTCTGAGGTGTGGCCTGGTGTGCTCAGATGCAGCTGCAGATACGGACCATGAAAGCCCAGGTTGGAAAGTGATTCCCGCCAGGGAGGTGT